TACATTTTGTTTTTGTAACAGGTTCCTACTATGTTTCTCCCCTGGGTGACTTCAAACTCCAGATCCTCCTGCCTGTATCTCTGAAGTAACTGGGATTATAGGTGTGCATTAACCATACCCGGATTAGATTTTTTTTTAAAGAATCTAAGGTAAACAAGCAGTGAGACTCCTACAAGAATTAAGAAAATGATAATGGCATAGACTGAGGGGGAGTGAAAATAATACAAGCAGTTTTTCAACAATTATCTTGGTCTAAAAATGAATCAAGAAGCTGGGTGCTGGTAGCTCACATCTGTGAGCTACTCAGGAGGCTAAGATCTGAGGATTGCAGTTTGAAACCAGCTCAGGCAGGAAAGTTCAGGAGACTCTTATCTCCAATAAAAACTATGCACAAAAAGCTGGAAATAGCACTGTGTCCCAAGTGGTAGAGTGCTAGCCTTGAGCAAAAAAAGCTCAGGGACAGTATCCAGACCCTGAGTTCAAGCACCAGGACTGGCACCAAAGAAAAAAAAAAGGATCAAGAATAATTCATTTGACTTAATACCATGAACACAGACAGTCAAGGTCCTAGATCTCTAGTCTGAAGGTCTTTCAAGGTCATCAATAATCCTAGGCAAAATTAAGGTATGTTATTCATTATCCCATAAATCTCTGTACTGCATTTCAGAGGTAAGCATTTCATCCTATCGACTTGGATTGCTTCTTCTCTGCAAAGCTCATTCTAACCTTTCTCTCAGCTGTCTCCCTCCACTGCTTAACCACAGCCCTTCCTAAGGCTTACTTTTGCTCATTCCAACTTCAAAGCTCAGTTTGCACATAGTGCTTACCTGGTCTCCAACTCAGCCTCCTTTTCCTCCAACTAGCCTCATCACTTCACTTGTCACAGGACACTCCTGCTAGGATCAAGGGAACCGAGTCTCTAAACGTGATTCTTCTTACAAAATAGCCTGCTTTTCTCAACAATCAAATCCATGCTAAGACTATCACAGTGAATGCAGTGTAGCAGAGAGTGCTACAATGGAGCATAACATCATCTCCATGCTTGGAAGGAGCCAACAGCTCCATTTCCAAAGTCAAGACAAATATCAGAACTATAGGCTCATTTCTCAATCCATCTTCCAAAGCTGTAGAGCCAGTGCCTTTTCTGGAACCAAGCCTGAAAGAAGAGAATTCCAACACTGTTTTTTTGAATAAGATAATCCAACAAATTAACATTCCCTTCTCAGCTGGCTCATTACCTGGAACACAAAGTTTGCATGGCAACTTGAATAGAGACAAGTAGATAGGGGAAGGATGAGATATGTGCAATTTACTGTGTGCCAGCACCTACTTGTTTTTGAAAGAAAAGCAAAAAGCATATTGTAGAAGATTAAGAGTAAATTTTTAAAGCCCACCCTTCCTTTGTTTCTGCAGGTTAGGGTAATAAACCAAATTAATCATCTCCCATGTGCCTTCTGGTATGTGGTCAGTCTAGTTCAAAAGATACTTTATAAAGTGTTAAGCATCTTTAGGCAGACATTGCAACACCTTGAGTGTAATGATTAGGCACTTTGTTTTTTGTTTTTTGTTCCGGTCGTGGGGCCTGAACTCGGCCTGGGCACTGTCCCTCAGCTCTTCAGCTCAAGGCTAGCGCTCTACCACTTGAGCCACAGCGCCACTTCTGGCTTTTTTCCTTTTTGCTTATTTGGTGCTGAGGAATCGAACCCAGGGCCTCATGCATGCGAGGCAAGCGCTCTACCACTGAGCCACCTTCCCAGCCCTGATTAGGCACTTTGAAATGGGAAAAAGAACAGTTTCCTGCTATTCAGTCTCTTATACTAATAGCCACTTGCCATTTTCCCAGTTACATATTAAACAAGCCTGAAAATGCATTGGTGTATCTATTCCCTCTGACGTTAAAATTTGCCTTTGCAGAACAAAGGTAGTTAAGGATTGGAGAGCCATGATGTGGCTCTAGAAGAAAAGCCAATACTATGGAAGGGACCTAGTGCCGCAGCCTTCTGTGTATCCTACTTCTCAACCCAGAGTGAAATCGTTGTACCAAACTTCACTTAAGACAAAGCAAAGTGAACAAAGACACTATTCTTGTTTAAATATGCAGTATTTCCTTCCACGGCAGTCTGTAAGGCACACACACACACACACCTTAGAGAGCAAGAAGTTCTACCTGCTATTGGGATGTGAATGGAACCTGTCTTCTTACGATCCCTTTGGAACTCCATATAGTAAGTGGTGATATGATCTTTATCCCATCAACTCCTTGCTAAAAAGAGAAAACAGCCAACTGCTCCTCTTCTATTTAAATGTTTCAAATCACTCCTGAATATCATCCCAGAGGAAATAACTTCAGAAATTCTTTGTACCTCTCAGGTGTGCACTTGATAGTACCTATGATCCCAACTTTCAGAACGCAGAAGACAGAAAGCTGCAATACATAATACAACACCGCCACCTAGAGGCAAAAAGTTAAGAAACAGGACACCACAGATGAGACATAATGCTGCCCTGACCAACAAGGCACCTCCTTTCTTTTCTTTTTCCAGTACTGAAGTTTGAGCTCACCGCCTTCCACTTACTAAATAGGTTCTTTACTGCTTGATAAAATCCCAAGGCCTTTTGTTCCTTAGCCATTCAGATAGTGTCTCACATTTTTACCCAGGGCCAGCCTTGAATTACAAACCTGTACCACCATGCAGACTTATTTGTTGGGACAGGGTCTCACTAACTTTTTACCTGGGCTAACCTTAACCTTCAACTATACGTCCTGGGTAGCTGATAATACAAACTACCATACTCTGCACTTGCTACCAAAACCTAATTACATAATCTGGGGGTTTTTTGTTTGTTTTTTGTTGTGGGGCTTGAACTCCAGGCCTGGATGCTGTCCCTCAGCTCTTCAGCTCAAGGCGAGCACTCTACCACTTGAGCCACAGTGCCACTTCTGGTTTTCTAAGTGGTTTATTGGAGATAAGAGTCTTACAGACTTTCCTGCTTGGGCTGGCATTTATTGGGCCTTATGTACCAGGTGGATTATTATTGATCTTTTTTAGAGAGATGAAGGGGCAGAGTAGGGGGATGTGGACAAGGTTAGCCTTATTCTTGGGCTCTAGTAAGCCTCCTGCCTTAGCCTTCCATGTAGCTATGATTATAGTCATATAGCACAGCACCTATACTATACATGACTTTAAGTAATATCTCCATTTAACCAATGGAGGCCTGAAGCCAGATGTGAGGAAAGCCAGCACAGAGCTGCCAGATCTGGAGTATAAATTCGTTTTATGAAATTTTTGTGCCAGCCCTGGGGCTTGAATTTAGGGCTTGAAAGCTGTCCCTGAACATTTTTGCTCAAGGCTATTGCTCTAGTACTTGGGTTCCACTTCTGCCTTTTTGGAAGGTAAGCAGAGATACAAGTCTCACAGACTTCATTGCCGAGACTGGCTTCAACCCATGATCCTCAGATTTCAGCTTCTTGAGTAGCTAGGATTTTAAGCATTAGCCAGTACTGGGCCAAATCCAATTTTGCCACTAGCCATACCCATGACTAGCTTAACCATCCTTGGCTTACCTGGGATAGTGTCAGTTTGTACTTGCTGTTCAGGAATAACAGCATCCCTTCCACTCTCCAGTACCCTGACTTGGATTTTACACCAAACACCAAACACCAACCAGCCTATCTACAGCCCTCAGAAGAGTTCTTACTTCTCTAGACTTGTTTCTATCACACTAAAAAGGATTCTTTTTGGAGGAGGGGCGGAGGTCTGGTCGTGGGGCCTGAACTCGGCCTGGGCACTGTCCCTCAGCTCTTTAGCTCAAGGCTAGTGCTCTACCACTTGAGCCACAGCGCCACTTCTGACTTTTTTCTTTTTGCTTATGTGGTACTGAGGAATCGAACCCAGGGCCTCATGCATGCAAGGCAAGCGCTCTACCACTGAGCCACCTTCCCAGCCCCTATCGCATTAAAAAGGATACAGAATCAAGAGGCTGAGATCTAAGGATCATAGTTCAAATTCAGCCTAAGCAGGAAAAATCTCAAGACTCTTATCTCCAACTACCTACACCCATTAAATATAAATAAATAAATAAATAAAGCTGGAAGTCCAACTGTGGCTCAAGTGGTACAGCATCAGCCTTGAGCAAAAACAGCTCAGGATAGCACACAGACCCTAAGTTCAAGCCCCAGGAAAAGCACCAAAAAAAGGCTATATATCGTATTTAAAGAGGTTTTTTTCGCATTGATTTTGTGATGTCCATTTCAAGAGTTTTAAATTTTAGCTTCTAAAGCAGTCCCAATGATTTAACTAAATAACTTTCAAACTCTACCTCCCGGATGATAAACTAGTGAAGACATTTCACCTATCACCTTAGATGCCAACCACCAACGTATTTCCATAAACATTTAAAGATTAATAAACACAACCAAACTGGAATCGGTACTCTCTACTTAGTCCTGTTCTACTTATCTTCTTACTCCTTAGCTTAGACACATCAGCCATGCTAGGCTTTGACATTCCCCACCCAGGAATGAAGATTCTTGATAACAAATACCCAGCCAAAACACATTTTCACTTGGGCAGGGGAAGATGTCTACACACAAGACCATGGAACTGCCAGGCGCCAGAGTGGCTCACGCCTATAATCCTTGCTACTCAAGAGGCTGAGATATGAGGATCAAGGTTCAAAGCCAGCCAGGGCAGGAAAAGTCCATGAGACTCTTATCTCCAATAAATCACTCAGAAAACCAGAAGTGGACTGTGGCTCTAGTGGTAGAGCACTAGCCTTGAGCTGAAGAGCTGAGGGACAGCGCCCAGGCCCAGAGTTCAAGCCCCATGACTGACAAAAAAAAAAAAAGACCATGGAATTCTCAGAACCTTAAAGTCCTGAAACAGAAAGATTGTTAACCACACAAGGTAGCAAAAGAACAGGAAATGGAAAACGAAAGTGAGACAACCCAATATTCTATCATGTCACCCTCCCGTACCTTAGGCAAGGATGAAAACTGATTTTGGAGTAAATACATTTATTGATACCCAATTTATATATAGTTCAATGAAATAATCTATAAATATAAAAGCATTTTTCTTCTGGATATCACTATGGTCCATGTAAATACTCAACAGTCAGAGTCATTTGCAGGAAGCACTCCAAGTCACACTGTTAGGTTACAGACCTGAATATATAGATCTCATTCAACAGTGGCACTTATGTACTCAAGTGGTCCAGTGGCTTTGGAATATACATGACTGAGCAGGTGGAATAAAAATAATGTGTTTAAGTTTAAATCAATGGAGGGGGTATCAACCATCAACAAAAAGGAACAGTTATTGAATTCAAACTCTAGGCAAACGAAGTACCAGTTGTTGACACGTGGTGTCAAAATACTGGAGACAAAGTGTAAAACAACACAAGTTGTGGCACCACACTCTCTCCAACCCCAGTGACAGTCCACCAGTGCCATAGGGCCATTCCTGGTCAACAAACAGCAGTTCTTAAAATAATCTAGATAGCTCACAATGAAGGGATGCAGAAGTTGCTATCAAGGTTAAAAGAAAATGGGCTGAATATTTCAGGGACATGAGTTTCTCCCCTATAAGAGGACTGTGGGAAAACTACTTTGTCTTAAATTCCCTTTGTTTACATTGTGAATGGTCACTTATCAAGTGCAGGAGAACCCACACATCTGGTACCCAAAACACAGGTGCAAAAATTTTCTTGTTTCAAAGTTTTTTCTCAACACTTCCAGGAGAACCAATGCAGCCAGTGCTGAGCCTTGCTCTCCACCCGATGCGGCACAGAAATCTCCTCTCATTCCTTCCTCACAAATACAGGAATGTCCTTTGCTTCAGATGACGCATCTTCTGAGTGAGCAAGTGAATGAATTTAAAAGGTCTTACATATACTGAGATCTGAGAGGCAGTGTTAGAAGGTAAGCAAAGCAGGGTTTTTAGGAACTAATTAAATGAAAAACTTAAGGGAAGCACATAAAATTCAGGGTTTTTTTCTATTATTTTCAGCTGGAATTGACAGCAGTATTCCCTGAAAAGGATAGGTAACTGGTGTTATCTCCAGGTCCAAAATATCCAATTACTTGAAGTAGGACCAAAAAAAGAAAGACCTATTTGAGTTCTGAGGCCTCAAAGAATAAAAAATTAAAAAATTTTTTAAAAGGATGAAGGAAGGACAGGAAGGAAGGAAGGAAGGAAGGAAGGAAGGAAGGAAGGAAGGAAGGAAGGAAGGAAGGAAGGAAGGAAGGAAGGAAGGAATAGTAGCTTCAGTTGTACACTGCCGACTGAAAAAAGGTTTTCATCCAAATAAGACACTCTATGCCTCGTCTATAGTGAGACAGGCATTAGGCTCCCACAAGCAGCAGCTCCCATGTCCTGTAGCATGTGGCATCTGAACCTGGAGTGAGGAGTAAGCTGGCACCAAGCCTCAGCTGCTGAGATTCAGACTAGATGGCATTCCGTGGTGTGCCATTGTGTGCCAATGCTTTCAGGCTGGGGACACTGCTCTGGTGAACACAGCTCCTGTGAGAAGTCACACCCACTTCAAAAACCTCATGAATAGCTTTTCGGAAGCAGTGGAAGTTGTAATCTATCAGACCTGCAAGAGGAAGAAAAAAAAAAAAAGAATCACCCCTGTTGAATGTAGACTGTGAACATATCCACCAGGAAATAAATATTCAGTGACAGAAAAGACATACACTCACACCTGAGGAATTCTATACACTGGGAAAATTATAAAGCACATAGAAAATTATTAAAACTGTTTTTTTGTTTTTTGGGTTTTTTTTTTTTGTCGGTTGTGGGGCCTGAACTCCGGGCCTGAGCGCTTCAGCTCAAGACTAGCGATCTACCACTTGAGCCACAGCGCCGCTTCCAGCTTTTTCTGCTTATGTGGTGTCGAGGAATCAAACCCAGGGCCTCATGCATGCAAGGCAAGCGCTCTACCACTGAGCCACCTTCCCAGTCCCTAAAACTGGTTTCTTTAGGGCCTCAGGGTATACATGGAGGACAATTAATCTAACAGAGCTACTAAAAAGGTAAGTATACTAAGTTTACAATAAACCCCAGAGTCAAGGAAAAATACTTTTTGAATTATAAACTCCCTTTTACCACTCTTCGGGCAGCCATTAAAGGACTGAAGAAAACAAGCAGTCAACCTAGTAAAACTGCTGAGTAGTGGTAAGCGGCAGAGACTGTCAAGAGTTCTAAGTGGCCTGCAATGCCTCTTCAGGAAGGGCAGTTTACCAGTTCTGTGTAAGGTTTTTTTGTTTTGTTTTTGTTGTTGTTGGTCCGAGGGCTTGAACTCTGGGCCTGGGTGCTGTCCCTCAGCTCGTCAGCTCAAGGCAAGCACTCTACCACTTCAGCCACAGCACCACTTCCAGTTTTCTGGTGGTTTACTGGAGACAAGAGTCTCACATGGGCTGGGAAGGTGGCTCAGTGGTAAAGCGCTTGCCTCGCATGCATGAGGCCCTGGGTTTGATTCCTCAGCACCACATAAGCAAAAAGAAAAAGCCAGAAGTGGCGCTGTGGCTCAAGTGGTAGAGCGCTAGCCTTGAGCTGAAGAGCTGAGGGACAGCGCCCAGGCCCGGAGTTCAGGCCCCACGACCAGACCCAAAAAAAAAGTCTCACAGACTTTCCTGCCCAGGCTGGCTTTCAACCATGATCCTCAGATCTCAGCCTCCTGAGTAGCTAGGATTACAGGTGTGAGCCACCAGCGCACGGCTCCATGTAAGTTTTTTGATGGACAAGTGTTAATTTGGGACAAAAATAGCTAGCTGCCTACCAACTCTAACCATATCTCCTTTCTTCTCTTAGAAGCAGAACCCTAATTTTGAATGAACATACTGGTGCCAAGCTAAAATGCAATTCCCAGCCTTCCTTGCAGTTTGTAATTAAGTACAGCCAAATGGCCAATTATGGCCACTGCAGTAAGTAGAAATTTTATAGGTCATCTGTGAACTCTCTTTATGGGGAAAAGGATGCATTTATTCCTTTTTCCACCTCTATTCTTCTTTCTTAAAGTCTAGAATAGCGGTAATATGGCTGGAGCTCCTTTCTGGAACAGGGTGACATTTCATTATGCTAAGAAGGGCAAGACAGGAAGAGAAGTTGCCTAGCTGCACTAGACTGTCAACCTCCAAGCTTCTTTAAAGGTGAAAGAGACATAAACTTCCATTTTATTTAAGCCTCCATTACTTGGATTTGCAGCCAAGGTTAATAAAATGTTAGAAATTCTTAAACTCCCTAAGTAGAGCTGTGGCTCAAAGTGGTACAGTGCTAGCCTTGAGCAAAAAAATCTCAGAGACAGCACCCAGGACCTGAGTTCAAGCCCTGTGACTGACAAAAAAAAACAAACAAAAATATAAATACTTTGCCAGGTGCCAGTGGCTAACACCTATAATCCTAGCTAGGAGGCTGAGATCTGAGGATCATGGTTTGAAGTCAGCCAAATCAGAAAAGTCCATATGAGACTCTCACCAATTAACCACTCAAAAACCAGAAGCAGTGTTTGGCTTAAGTGGTAGAACACTAGTATTGAACACAAATGGGCTCAGGGACGGCAGGCCAGGCCCTGAATTCAAGTCCCACAACCGACAAAAAAAAAAAAACTTACACTCCAACTAAGAGCTAGGTTGTCATGTATATCTACCATCACAGCATCCTTCTGTGTGCACCACAATGCGCAATCTGACTGTCACCTTGACCAAATTAACAGCCTTGTCATCAAACTTTCAAATCACAAAATTCATATTCAGAAAAAGTAAAATATAAAAATACATTGTGTGGTCTAAACACAGTGTGATCTTCCAATAATTTACATTCAATTTGATGAACGTCATTAAACATTGAACAGTATGACAGAGGGTACAATGTGTCAGAACCAGCAGATATGATCTAGCCTTCAAGGATGTGCTAGCTGCAGCATAAGGCCAACACATAAGAAACAAATCAAAACAATCTGGTGTCAATTAATCACAAATGTGAAAAACGTCCAATGAAGAGAGAAACAACTACAGGGCAAAGTTGTCAATAAAAGCTTCACAGCTTCACAGATCCTAACTCTGAACTGGCACCAAATATTCAAATCATTCAATTCACATTCAGAAAAAGTAAAATATGAAAATACATGGTATGACTAAACTTTTGAGTATACCAGCAAGACTTTAATTATGCAGAACAGGAAGAAAAATTCCAAGAAAACCACAGGGAAGCTGGGCACCGATGGCTCACACCTATAATCCTAGCTACTCAGGAGGCTGAGATCTGGGGATTTAGGATCTCAATTCAAAGCCAGCTCTGGCAGGAAAGTCCATCAGACTCTTATCTCCAATTAACCACCAGAAAACTGGGAAAACTGGAAGTGGCGCTGTGGCTCAAGTGGTAGAGCACTGGCCTTGAGCTGAAGAGCTGAGGGAGGGTGCCCAGGGCCCACAGTTCAAGCCCTGGACAGACAGAAAAGGAAGGCAGGAAGGCAGGAAATAACAGGAGTTAGGCTCTGATAGCTCATGCATATAATCCTAGCTACTGAGGAAATAGAAATCTGAGGATAGCAATTCAAAGCCAACCTGGGCTCCAATCACCAAATCTCCAATTCACCACCAAAAAGCCAGAAGTGAAGGTATGGCTCAAGTAGTAGAGCACTAGCATTGAATGAAAAAGCTAAGGGAGGGCTGGGAAGGTGGCTCAGTGGTAGAGTGCTTGCCTTGCATGCATGAGGCCCTAGGTTCTATTCCTCAGCACCACATAAGCAGAAAAAGCCAGGAGTGGCGCTGTGGCTCAAGTGGTGGAGTGCTAGCCTTGAGCTGAAGAGCTGAGGGACAGCACCCAGGCCAGAGTTCAGGCCCCACAACTGACAAAAAAAAGAAAAGAAAAGAAAAAGCTAAAGGACAGTATCCAGGTCCTGAGGTTCAAGGCCCAGAACTGGCACACAAGAAAGGAAAGAAGGGGAGGGGGGAGGAGAAGGGAAGGGAGAGCAGGGGATAAGAGAGGGGGAGAGGGAGAGAAGGAGAGAGGGAGAGGAAGAGAGAGGGAGAGAGGGAAGGAAAAGGAAAAGAGGGAGGAAGGGAAGAAGGGAGGGAAAGAAAGAGGGAGAGAGAGAGGTAAAAAGAGGGAGGAAAGGAAGAAAAAAGGACACAAGAAAAATGGCTTAACTTGTGACAGAAGTCAGATGGCCAAATCATGAAACGTCATAAAACATCTGTCCACGTTTGCCACAGTGATCACCACACCAAATATTTAAATGAAGATGTCTTACTAATAGCTCCAAATACAGGAATGGAACATGAGCTCAAGGGAGAGCTGTAGATGTAAATTTTTTAGTCACAAACAGATTAACCCAAACCATGGACTAGAAAAACTGACTTCAGAAAAAGTAACAATTGGGGGACTGGGAAGGTGGCTTAGTGGTAGAGTGCTTGCCTAGCACACATGAGGCCCTGGGTTCAATTCCTCAGTACCATATAAACAGAAAAAGCCAGAAGTGGCGCTGTGGCTTAAGTGGTATAGGGTATAGTGCTAGCCTTGAGCAAACAAGCCGAGGGACAGTGCCGGGGCCCTCAGTCCAAGCCCTAAGACTGGCCAAAAGAAAAGATAAAATAACATCTGGGAAGATAACTCTGAAGAACATAGAACTAGGAGAAAAATAAAGCAGCTAGAGAAAAAGGAGAGACAGACAGAAATCCAAACACAAAATGATCCAGACAAATCAGTTTTAAGGAAACAGAGAGAAGAAAGTTTTGAAAAAGGAAGGACTTACAGGGCCACAATTGTCAGAAGACTGAGTGAATGAAGCATGAAAGGCACCACCTTTCAAGGAATAGCTTCAGTAGATTGGTTTAGCTAGAAACAAACTATAGTCAATCAACAGCTAATAAAAAGATTTGAAAAGTCAGGCATTAGTGTTCACCCCTGTAATCCTACCTACTCAGGAGGCTGGTCTTTGAGCATTGAGGTTAAAAGTCAGACCAGCATAAAATCCTGGGACTCTTATCTCCAATTAGCCACCAGAAAACTAAGGCACTAAGGAGCACTATAGCCTTGAGCAAAAAGAACTCAGGGAGCTGGGCACTGGTGGCTACGCCTACGTAATCTTAGCTACTCAGGAGGCTGAGATCTGAGGATCCCAGTTCAAAGCCAGCCCAGGCAAAAAAGTACGTGAGACTCTCATCTCCAATAAACTACTCTGTAAAAGCCAGAAGTAGCACTGTCGCTCAAGTGGTTGAATGCTAGCCTTGAGCACAAGAAGCTCAGAGACAGAGCCTAGGCCCAGAGTTCAAGCTCCAGGACTAGCAAAAAAAAAAAAAAAAAGAATTTTGAAGAAAGAAAAGGTCTAAAATAAAAACTTTTGTGGGTGAGATGGTGGGATGAGAGGGAAAAACTGGGAGAGAAAGAGAGGTGACTTTGTCAGTAAAGAAATGTACTCTTTACCTGATTTATGTAACCATAACCCCTCTGTATATCACCTTTATCACCTTTATAATAACAATATATAAATAACTTGACTTAAAATATCAAAGGAAGGACAGTCTGGACTTCAGTCTGGAAGGGACAAAAGTATGAACTGAACCAGACAACAGTGGCTCATGCCTGTAATCCTAGCTACTCAGGGACCTGAGACCTGAGGATTGTGGTCTGAAGCCAACCTGGACAGAAAAAATAAAAAGACTCAACTCCAATTAATCAGTAAAAAGCTAGAAGTGGAGGCATGGCTCAAGTAGTAGAGCACAAAACATTACCAGAAAAAGCTAAGCGAAAGTATAAAGTTCAAGACCCAGCACCAGCACACAAACAAAAATCCCTATGAGCTCATTTATTTTTAAAGATAACCATTTGTCAACAGTATACAACTATAATCAGTTACACTCAGAAGGTTGAGATCTGAGGATCATGAGTTGAAGCCAACCAGAGCAGACTCTATTTAACAAGAAAAGAAAAAAAGTGGAGGGGCTGGGAAGGTGGCTCAGTGGTAGAGCACTTGTCTTGCATGCCTGAGGCCCTGGGTTCAATTCCTCAGCACCATATAAGCAAAAAGAAAAAAGCCAGAAGTGGTGCTGTGGCTCAAGTGGTAGAGCACTAGTCTTGAGCTGAAGAACTGAGGGACAGCACCCAGGTCCAGAATTCAGGCCCCACGACTGGACCAAAAAAAAAAAAAAAAGAAAGAAAGTGGAGTGGTTCAAGTGAAAGAATACCAGCCACAAGGAGAAAAAGCTAAGCCAGAGCTTGAGGTCCTGACTTTATGCCCTAATACTGGTACAAAATAAACAAATAAATAAAGCCATGTATTTATGTGTTCAATATTGCAACCTTGCAATATTACTTCCTATTGTTTTCAAGGACCTGAAAAACAGTGACAAACACATGAAAACAGTTTTTGAAAATGCCATTACCTTTTCGTTCAAAGCTCTCTTCCCTAAGAATGCAGACCAGTGCCAAAAATTTAGTCACTTCCTTTAAATAAAGGACAGTTGTATTATTCAGCTTGATAATTGCCATGGATTCCTTGTCATAAGCACTTCCACTTCCATCTTCCTTTAGCCTATTTTAAAAAGAAAGTACCACTCATTAACATTGCCCAACTTGTTATTTTGTCACATTTAATTTGCAGTTACAAGTTTGTCCACCCAGATTCCCAAATGTCTATGAGAAAAAATGGTACTGGCTTATATATATCACAACAGAGTTGCCATTTCAATATAGGATTCCCAAGCAGAATCTTAGAATCAATAATTTTTGTTCTAAACAGAAAGTTCTATACATATCCATTACTTACTAAAATGAAACATTTGGAGAAAACAGTAAAAATACATGTAGATCTTAACCAAAAAAGGACATTTCCAACACCATGCCAGATGGGGCTACTAGTACCTGCTCAGATCATGGTGTGCAGGCTCAGCTGAGCTACCTTTTCTCTTCCCTCAGACAACAGAGCCCCCATGGGACCTGCCACCATCTCAACAAGCTACTTCAAAACATACTTTACATGCCAAGCCAATCATGTCTTTTCTCAGAATTTTCTTCTTCACAAAAACAAGAAAATTCTTAGATTATACAAGAACACTCCTACCTAGAGACCTACAGGAATTACACTGAAACCAACCACTTTATTTTGTTTTGGTCAGTTGTGGGGCTTTAACTCAGAGCCTCTTTGTGCTCAAGGATAGTGCTCTACCACTTGAGCTACAGATCCACTTCTGGTTTTTGAATGGTTAACTGGAGATAAGAATCTCATGGGGTTATTCTGCAGAGGCTGGCTTCAAATCACAATCCTCAAATTTTCGCCTCTTGAGTAGCTAGGATTACAGGTGCGAGCCATCAGCACCTGGCCCAACAACTTTTAAGTAGATTCTCAGTGTCCTTTCTTCTGTATCTGCTCAGCAAAAGTCTATTGGTTATCTAGTTTCCAACAGAAAGAGTTATCAAAATTGCCTTTTTAAAAGATACATTTGCCACCACATTTTTTAAAAAAGTTTATGCGTACAGGGAGGAAGTTAGCAATATACACCTATAATCCCAGGATAAAGGAGGCTGAGGTAGCATGATGGAGAGTTCAAAGCCAGGTCTAAGATACATAGCAAGACACTGCCTAAAAGGGGAAAGGGGAAAGAGAGGGTTGCTTTTTACAAAAAAGGAAATATACTAAAAAGAAATGTTACCAGCAGTTGTCTTTGGTAGTAGAACAATGCCTGTTCTTTTTCTGTTTTTACTTGTCTCTATTTTTCATAAGCTGAATTTTACTGAAAAGGGGCTGATTTTGAATTTTACTGAAAAGGGGCTGATTTAAAACTATACTGAAACTTAAGTTTACTTTTTTTTGGGTGCAGAGGAAGGCAATACTGAGATTTGAACTCTGGACATTAGATTTGCTAAGCATGCTATCTATCCAGTTTACTTTTCTTTTCTTTTTTTTTTTGGGGGGGGGGGGATCCAGTCATGGGTCTGACTGCTTTCAGCTTTCTTTTTTTCTTTTTGCTTATGTGGTGATGAGGAATCGAACCCAGGGCCTCAGGCATGCAAGCTAAGCACTCTACCACTAAGCCACCTTCCCAGCCCTCCAGTTTACTTTTCATAAGTTATCTTATTGTTATTTACAATAAACTGGAAAGCCAGGCGCTGGTGGCTCACGCCTGTAATCCTAGCTACTCAGGAGGCTGAGATCTAAGGATCGCGGCTCAAAGCCAGCCCGGGCAGGAGAGACCGTGAGACTCCGATCTCCAATAAACCACCAGAAAACCGGAAGTGGAGCTGTAGCTCAAGTGGTAGAGTGCTCGCCTTGAGCTGAAGAGCTGAGGGACAGCGCCCAGGCCCAGAGTTCAAGCCCCACGGCCGACCAAAATAAATAAATAAATAAATAAATAAACTGGAGAACAGAATTACTGCTACAGTCCTATTTACCCTATTTCCTTTCTGGAAAAATTCAAAGTAAACTAAATTAAGACAATAAGAGGACTGTGCTCATTTTAAGCCTGCAATAACAGAAGCTCATTAAAGGTAAAATGACCTGGCAAAGTCAGAACTCAAATTTATTTAACTCAATCCGACAGTTTCTAATACCTTTTATAAAGTTGATTCGGCCAGGCAAAGTAAGGAAGGAAAGTTAAGTTTCATCTGTTTTAACAATATGAAAGAAAACTACTTCCTCCTGACTAGAGAAGAGGAAGTTGTGTTACATGTTCTTAGCTTAAGAGTTAGATGTCAAGTAGATCCTTTTCTGTGCCACATGGAAAATGTGAACAGGTACTAACTCTGAAACAGGCCAACAACAAACATGCCTGGCAAAAAGTCCCTAAGCTACATCTATCCAGAGGAAGCAGCTGCAAGAAGCTGCAACGCTTCTAATACTGAGCCAGCACATGATCCTGAATCACACTTACTTGCCTACCATGGATCTGACTTGACTCCAAGCATACTGGGCAAGCACATGCAGACACAGACACAAAGACACACACAGACACACACAGACACACACACACACACACACACACACACACACACACACAATGTTTTTTAAAAGAATATTCTATTCAAAGTCTGAAGATTAATTTTATTTTAGTGATTAATGAAGTTAAAATTTTAAATATGCTAGTTACTGTTTTTTAAGGCTTGCTCTATTGCTCCAAAATATTTTGGGAGGGTCTTTTGTTTCTATTTTTTTGTGCTGGTCTTGGGGCTTGAATTCAGGGCCTGGGCACAATCTCTGAGTTTTTTTTTTTCATACAAGGCTAGCATTCTACCACAAAAGCCAAGATCTACTTCCAGAGTTTTCTGGCAGTTAAGAGTTGGAGATAACATTCTCACAGACTTTCCTGCCCAGGATGGCTTTGAACCATAATCTTCAGATATCAGCTTCCTGAGTAGGATTACATGCATGAGCCACCTGCACCCAGCTGTTTCAGTATTTTGTTTTCTTGTGCCTGTCCTAGGGCTTTAACTGGGGACCTGAGTGCTGTCCCTGAGTATCTTTGCTCAAGGGTAGTGCTCTACCACTTGGACCAGAACTCCACTATGACTTCTTCTGGCAGTTAATGTAGTTAAAGAGTCTCACAGACCTTCTTGCCAGGATTGGCTCTGAACCTTGATCCTCAGATTTCAGTTTCCTGAGTAGCTAAATTTCAGGCATGAGCCACTGGCACCTGGCTGTTTTGGTCGTTTTGAAGGCTTTTAGGCAAGTATATTTATCTGAATTTTATTTGAAAATATGTCCAGGCAAAAGTAGAAAAGGTTTGGTCAAAAGGAGCAGACTTTGAAGCAGCCTACTCTGGACTGCAAATGAAAGGAGAAAGAACTTAGTACTGAATAAACTGAAGAGCTTCTAGCAAGACAGCTAGGATAAAAAGCTCATCAGTGTCAACAACAGACACTTCCTCTCTAAGAATGCAGTGTTCACTCACGCTATCTTGTTTACATGGACTATAGCTGGCTTCAAATCTTCCCTCAGATTAATCGGTACTGACAAGTCTACAAATGAAAGATCTTAAATATGAAGATTGCTACAAGTAAAAAATATGAATATAAAAACTAGAATATAGTCTACTAAATATATTATAGAATCTTAATACAAAGTGAATTTTAGAAGCTAAAAACTACAATAAGTTATATACAGTCTCTTCCAAAAAAACATAAAACAATAATCAAGTAAGAAGTAAATTACAAGAACATTATCACACTGCATATATAATGTTGGGAATAGTGAAATAATGGTCTCATTTTAAAAACTCTACAGTATGGGCTGGGAAGGTGGCTCAGTGGTAGACCACTTGCCTTGCATGCATGAGGCCCTGGGTTCGATTCCTCAGCACCACATAAGCAAAAAGAAAAAAGCCGGAAGTGGTGCTGTGGCTCAAGTGGTAGAGCACTAACCTTGAGCTAAAGAGCTGAGGGGCAGTGCCCAGGCCCAGAGTTAGGCCCCACAACCGGATCCAAAATTAAAAAAAAAAAAAAACTCTACAGTATATGCAATTTATCATCAATCTTATAGTAAAAATAATTTTATAATTTGATTTTTTTTTTTTGTCAGTTATGAGGCTTGAACTCTGGGCTTGGGCACTGTCCCAGTGCTCTTCAGCTCAAGGCAAGTGCTCTACCACTTGATCCATAGCATCACTTCCGGTTTTCTAGTGGTTTATTGGAGATAAGAGTCTCACAGACTTTCCTGCCCAGGCTGGCTTTGAACGGTGATCCTCAGATCTCAGCCTCCTGAGTAGCTATGATTACAGGCATGAGCCACCGGCACCCAGCCAAATTTGATTTTTAAATTATGAAAAAGGTTGTTTATGAAATCTTGATTTGTTTTAAAGAAAAAGCAAATGTTCTACTCATATATTTTTAGAAATGGGGAACATGAAACTTTCCTGAGTAATATAACAGTCTTGTCTCATTTTCATTATGGAAAAAAATAAAAGAACATGTGATCATAAAAGTAAAAAAGGAATAAACTGAAATGAGACAGGTCCAGAAATGGTAAGACAAATGCATTCTCCTTTTCAGAGGCAGCCAGGAAAAGCTAAGTATGGAGATCAAGCTAACAGGTAAGATCAGAGGTGAAGCAGAACAGAAGACACAGGTATTAGAAAGTAAGAGAGCCTAAAAAACACCTTGGGAGTTCTGACATTAACTAGATGAATATGGATTATCAGAGGTACAAAGAATGTTATCAGTAAATTCTCCCAAAGTTGTTTTATGTTTTGGTTTTTACTTTTTGTACCAGTCCTAGGGCTTGGACTCAGGGCCTGGGTACTGTCCTGTTGCTGTTAAGCTCAAGACTAGTGCTCTACCACTTAGCCACAACTCCAATTCAGCTTTTTTTGCGGGCAAGGGCATAGTTTATTGGCTTACAGTTGTGAGTCAACAGTGCCAAGTCAAAAGCTATTTTATGTTTTGTTTTGGGTTTTTGGATTTGGGGTTTGTTTTTGTTTTTTTTTTTGCCAGTCTGGAGGCTTGAACTCTGAGCCTGGGCACTATCCCTGAGCTCCTTTTTTGCTCAAGGCTAGCACTCTACCATTTGAGCCACAGTGCCATGTCCAGTTTCAGATGGTTAATTGGAGATATGAGTCTCATAGACTTTCTGCCCAGGCTAGTTTTGAACCAAGATCTCAGTCTCCTCAATAGCTAGGACTACAGATATGAGCCACTGGTACCCAGCCCAAAAGTTTTATTTTCTACAAAATCACTTATTTGCTCTCTTTTCTAAATTTCTATACAGAGTACAGGAGACCTCACATTTTAGAGATTTATTCTGGAAAGTCAGATGTATGAGTTAAATGTCCTGTCTAAGTCCTTTTAACAAATAAAATTCTGATTACCTTGTTTCTTTGTACTCTGAAACAGATTTAGAATCCCTGTTCTACAAAGCCTGAGGTTAAATGAGGAACCAGCACTTATTTTCTTATTCATACCACTTAAAATAAATTAATCTAGCTTTTCAATCTACCTAAGTTACACTAAGAGAAGATAACAATACAAACTCTACAAATTGAGGCAAGAAAAATTTTTAGTGATAAATAAATCCAACACCATTCACTTCCCAAGTGCTCTATGCCATCCTCTCTGAAATTAAGAACCAGCAATGTTTACAGAGAAATCATGCTCCAAGCTGAATCACTGTGGTCAAAATGATAGTCTTTATTCGGTACTTTATTCGGTACAGGGGGCTCTGAAATTAGTCCTCTGAACAAATAATACTGGTGTTTTGCTACTTGTCTGAGATCTTACAGAAATATGTATAGAACTTACCCGTATATACAAGACACATCAATTACAACATCAATCATATCACAGCAAAGTTCATAAGACTGCATATCCACAGGAGAACTGTCGGTTGCGATGTAGATTTTGCTGACAACATCAAAGAGAAAGGCTTTTTCAATACCTGAATTCTTGGAAAAACAAAATTGGGGAAGTGTTCAGTTACTTTTTGGGGGGGAGGGGCATTCAGTTACTTTTATGTGCATGGGTGCACATACATGTGCACACCAGTACTAGGGATTTTACTCAAGGAGTTTCTGTGCTCAAGACTAGCATTCTACCATTTAAACCACAGCTTTTTTTTTTTTTTTTTTTTTGGTGATTAACTGGAGATGAGAGGATCATGGACTTTCCTGCCTGGGCTAGCTTCAAACCACTATCCTCAGATCTCAGCCTTCTGAGTTGCTAGAATTATAGGCGTAAGCCACTGGTATCTAGCCTCAGATCCTTTTTTTTTTTTTTTTTTTTGGGGGGGGGAGTCCCGGTCATGGGGCCTGAACTCTGGGCCTGAGAGCTGTCCCTCAGCTCTTCAGCTCAAGAATAGCACTCTACCACTTGAGCCACAGCACCACTTCCGGCTTTTTTCTTTTTGCTTATGTGGTGCTGAGGAATTGAACCCAGGGCCTTATGCATGCAAGGCAAGCGCTCTTCCACTGAGCCACCTTCCTAGACCCTTCAGAAACTTTTGTTGTTGTTGTTGGACATGGGGATTGACCTCAGGGTCTGGGAGCTGTCCCTTAGCTCTTTTGCTCAAGGCTAGCACTCTACCACTTGAGCCACAGCATTACTTCCAGGTTTTTTGTTGTTTTGTTTTTCATTTTGGGTTTGTTTTGTTTTGTTTTCCAGTTCTGGGGCTTGAATTCAGGGCCTAGACACAGTCCCTGAGCTTCTTTTGCTCAAGGCTAGCACTCTACCACTTGAGCCACAGAGCAACTTCTGGCTTTTTCTGTTTATGTTGTACTGAGGAATGGATCCCAGGGCTTCATGCATGCCAGGCAAGTACTCTACCACTAAGCCACATTCCCAGCTCCAACTTTCAGTTTTTTTGAATAATTAATTGGAGATAAGAGTCTCACGGGGACTCTTCTGCCCAGGCTGGCTTCAAACCAAGATCCTCATAACTCAGCCTCCTGAGTAGCTAGGATTACAGGCGTGAGCAACCAGTGCCCAGCCATGAGTTACTTGTAAGAATCACAATTTGTAACTTATCAAAGACAGGAATTATTGAAAAACACTTTTAATTATACATTAAAGGTCATTTTTCTTACAACTTTTTTTTTATGGTGATAAGGATCAAACCCAGGGCCTTTCACATACTAAGCAAACGCTGTTTTACTGCATATATGCAACCCCACCTGTTATTTTTAATTACACAACCAATACCAAAAAATAAATAATAATTGCTTATAAGACCTGTTTTTAAACAAAGCCTCATTACGTAGTCCAGAGTAGCCTCAAAGTTTGATCCTCAACTTCCCAAGTGCTAAGATTATAACCATGTACCACCATGCTCAGACTGCAAGATAATTCTCTCTAAAAAATAAAAGTGGAATTATCTCCTTTGATTTACTTCCATCTTTTTCTTCTTTCTCTTAAATGAATTATTTTCTAAGACACCAACAAACTTGAATAACAAAGAATTTCTCAAGCTGCCCATATAGTTCTGTGATAGAAAGCTTGCCTAGCAGTGCCATATCCCCAACAAAAAATAACCTCCTCAAACAGAACTATTCTATATTGTCAATAATCCTGCCCTATTATAATCAATCTATTTTGAGTAACCTATCAAAGCCTTTATATGAGCAATTAGCCAAACATAAAAGAATTAGTTTGATGCCAACATCTAGCTCAGCCAAAAAGCTAGAAAGAGTCACAGTGAGGAATATCACTCACTGAGTCCTTTCAAAATAATGTTTAGAAAATAAGTGTTCAATTTATTTATGTTAGTCTTTTTTTCCTTAAGATGAATGCTCAAAAGAAGAATATAAAATATGGGCTGGGAATGTGGCTTAGTGGTAGAGTGATTGCCTAACATGCATGAAACCCTGGGTTCGATTCTTCAGTACCACATAAACAAAAAGAGCCAGAAGTGGCGCTGTGGCTGAAGCAGTAGAATGCTAGCTTTGAGCAAAAGAAGCTCAGGGACAGTGCCTAGGCCCTGATTTTAAGCCCCAGGACTAGCACCAAAAAAAAAGTAAAATATGATAGTAAAATTATAATTATCAAGGAAAGGAAAGTATTTCTAAATGTCATCTCCAATGAAGCAAAGATTAAAATTAAATTGAGTCACATTCCCAACACCCAATTTTTTCCAGTCTTTACTCTTTCTTAAGGATACAGATAGGGGGGAGAGGGGAGGTAGGGAAGGGATGTGAAGGGTAAACAAAGGAGGAGGCTGCAATGCTTGATAAGAAATGTACGCGTTATCCTGCCCATGTAATTGTAACCCCTCTGTACAGTATGTTCACAAAAAAAAATTAAATTTAATTTAAAAAAAAAAAGGATACAGATATTATGAAGATGAAGGGATTTTTTGTTTGTTTTTTCATTTTCTCTTGAAACAGGGTCTCACTCTGCAGGCCAGACTGATCTGCAATTTGCTATGTAGAGCAGTTTGGCCTCAAATTTATATGCCTTAACCTCCTAAGCGCTGTGATTAACAGATGTGAACCATCACACCTAACAAAGAATTTTGTTTTGTGTTTGTGGTTCTGGGGATTGAGTCCAGGGCCTTGTGCATACTAGGAAAGGGCTCTACCACAAGGCAACATTTCCAGCTCCCAAACCCTTATGAAGATGTTTATAATTAAGAAAGCATGGGGGGGGGGGGGGCTGGGAAGGTGGCTCAGTGGTAGAGCACTTGCCTTGCATGCTCAAGGCCCTGGGTTCGATTCCTCAGCACCACATAAGCAAAAAGAAAAAGCCAGAAGTGGCGCTGTGGCTCAAGTGGTAGAGCGCTAGCCCCATGACCGGACCCAAAAAAAAAAAAAAAAAAAAAAAGCAAGCATGGGGGAAATTTTAGTAGTTCATTGGAAAATACAGAAGGGTATTTCAAGCTCCATTTCTGGAGAAAACCTGAAAACACAAATATATTTAACAAAAATGAAATTGGCAATTAGACTGAATTAAATAGCTCACTTACTGATATGAAGATATTTAATAGGTTTTCCAAGGTTGGCAGTTGTGGAATGAGCTTCTGCACCACCTTGCTGAAGGCTTCAAATATTGAGTGGTCATAGATACTAGTCAAATAAAAGCTGTAAAAACACAACATGGGAAGATTAATTTGGAAATTACCAGAAAAACAGTAATAACTACCATAATATGTAATATTTAATGTTTCTTAACATTTGCTCCCAGTAATTTAAAAAGATGTTTACCATACCCATTATTAAAGATAAGACCATTTTTCCAACCTGACCTATTATAGGATCACTCATTTTACTGCATTTACTAGAGAGCGACTAAGGGAACCCATACTGGAAAGCATTTCCAGATGCAGAAACTTGAACTATGTCTTTGCAATCTAACCCATAAAACTTGGTTTAAGTATATAACTAAGTCAAAACACCAAGACCAGACTCCAAGAGAAATCTAGATTTGTAATATTTACACTAAATAACAATTCACATTTCTACTATAATGCCACCTCCTGACCAATCTACCTAAAACAGTAATCCTGAACCTGCTTTCTATCTTTTGCACTAATCATTTTATCTTCATAGCACTAAGTAATTAAAATTATACCATGCATTAATTTGTAAAAGCTTTGAGCTATTATTCATTCAACTGTAAGCTCTATGAGGAAAGAGACTTTTGTTAGTCTTGGGCACTAAGTATTTGCTTAGTAAATAAGTCTACTGCCACTCCACCCTGGTTTCATCTGAATAAACGAAAATATACAACTGGCATTTAGATTTAGATACATAGCATAAGAAGAATGGATGTAGGAGTCCAGAAAACAAGAGCTTAAAGGCCTGAAAAAGGATGTATGAGTAGAAAAGTAATACTTGTAAATATGAAACATAAGTTGAAAGAGAGAGGCCTTTAACAATTTAAGTACTGTGGACAATTCTGCCTGATTTTTCACTCAAGAGTACACCTATCACCACATGATTCTATCAAGCTCAGAAATACAGGACTGTGTTTACCGCTCTGTGGCTACTTTAAAGACACAAGGAACTAATAACCTAAGAACCTAATCCTATGAAAGAAGGGGCTTTACTCTAGCTATAAGAGCACTAGAGCCGATCTGAGAATTGCAGTTCAAAGCCAGCCCAGGCAGGAAAGTCTGTGAGACTCTTTTCTCCAATGAACCACCAGAAAACCGGAAGTGGCACTATGGCTCAAGTAGTGGAGCGCTGGATCTTGAGCTGAGGAGCTGAGGGGCAGTGCCCAGGCCCAGAGTTCAAGCCCCACAATCGACACAGACAGACAGACAGACATACACACACACAGACACACACACACACATACACAAAGAGCACTTGGGCATGTAATAACAAATGATCTCATAAGCAGGAAGGAAAAGAATTTTAATCGCCGGGCGCCGGTGGCTCACACCTGTAATCCTAGCTACTCAGGAGGCTGAGATCTGAGGATCGCACTTCGAAGTCAGCCTGGGCAGGAAAGTCCATGAAACTCTTAAATCCAATAAACCACTAGAAAACCAGAAGTGGCGCTGTGGCTCAAGCCATAGAGCGCTCGCCTTGAACTGAAGAGTTCAGGGACAGCGCTCAAGCCCAGAGTTCAAGCCCCAAGACTGACCAAAAAAAAAGAATTTAAGTCTTTCTTTTAGGCACAGAGATTAGCAAAGTGAGGATCTTCCAGGGTTTGAAAGAGTTGGAGGTGAATGGAGACAGGGAAAACCTGAAAGCCAGAGTATGTTCATAAGTTGAGAAAGCAGAAATCAAATAGAGCCTTATCCTTAGGCCGGTCAATTTTAAATATAAGCTCGATGCAGGCTAAGAGCATATTTCAGTAGTAGAGCTCTTGCCTAGTATGCACAATGTTCTGTTTAGTCCCTAGCAAATAAAAATTAAAAATGAAAGCTTACTGAAAATTCTACTGAAACTAATAAGCTCTACTTACTACAGCTCTACTGGATACAGGCAGAAGGGTAATGTATACCAATAGGATGCACAGATAATTTAGGGGAATCATATTCCCCAGGAGCAGTATAGAACAGATAAACAAGGGTTAACACCCCCACCCTCCATAAAAAACAGTAGACTGCCAAAAATAAAAATAAGGGAGCAGACTATCATTGGCTCACTCCTATTATCCTAAATACTCTGGAGGCTGAGACCTGAGAATCAAAGACCAAAGCCAGCCCAAGTAGACAAACCTGAGAATCTTATCTCTAATTAACCATCAAAAAGCCTGAACTAGCTGGGTGCTGGTGGCTCACACCTACAATCCTAGTTATTCAGGAGGCTGAGATCTGAGGATCCTAGTTGAAAGCCAGCTGAGGCAGAAAAGTCCCAGGAGACTTTTTTTTTTTTTTTGGTAGGTTGTGGGGCTTGAACTCGGCCTGGACACTGTCCCTCAACCCTTTAGCTCAAGGCAAGTGCTCTACAACTTGAACCACAGCGCCACTTCTGGTTTTCTGGTAGTTTGTTGGAAATAAGAGTCTCACAGACTTTCCTGCCAGGCTGGCTTTGAACCTCGATCCTAAGATCCGAAGCTTCCTAAGTAGCTAGGATTACAGCCACCCACATCAGAATCCCTAGAGATTTATCTCCAATAAACTACTCAAAAAAGCCAGAAGTGGCACTGAGGCTCAAGAGGTAGAGCTCAAGCCTTAAATACAAACAGGCTCAAGGACAGCACCCAAACCCTGAGTTTAAGCCCCAGGACAGGCAAAAAAAAAAAAAAAAAGGATTTTACTTCTGAAGCTATAATTTCACCTGTTTTTAATTTTTAAGGGCTGAAGGAATGGCTCAAATACTAGAAAACCTGCCTAGCAAGCACTAGACCATGAGTTCAAGCCCTAGTATCACCAAAAAAGAGGGGGTGGGAGAAATGTAGGTAAACTAGAGGTGAGACTCTTCTACAAAGTTTGCTAGAAGTTTGGAAGATTTTGAAGCCTAAGGCAAGGTAGGTGTAGGAATAGATTTGGCTTAAGCCTAATGGAAGTCTTTATAGTGGCCCAAGGATGAGGAAATTACTACACCTGTCTCTCCTATGCTTTACCCCTTTAGGCTGTTAATATCAAGACAACATTTTCAGCTGGATGCTAGTGGCTCATGCCACCTAGCTACTCAGGAGGCTGAGATCTGAGGATTGTGGTTCAAAGCCAGATGAAGCACGAAAATCAGTGAGACTCCTATCTCTAATTAAATACCAGTAAGATGGAAGTGGAGGTACAGCTCAAGTGGTAGAGTACTAGTGGCTAAGATAGAGTACAGGCCCTGAGTCAAAGCCCCAGGACCAGCACAAAACAGGAACATTTTCTCAGGCACTTTTTAAAAAAGTTATTTTTACCTTCATCACTAAAAAAGATAAAGTACCAAAATAAGTCTTCTTATACATTCAAAATGCAAATACACAATCCTAACTAAGTGTTCAATTTATAGGATCAATTCACTTAACCCAAAGTTCAGAATTTTACAAAAGTACTATTGTAAGAACTAGGATACATGCGGGGCGCCAATAGCCCATACCTGTAATCCTAGCCACTGAAGAGGTTGAGATCTGAAGATAACAGTTCAAAACCAACCCAAGCATGAAAGTCCATGAGCCTCTTATCTCCAATTAATCACCAAAAAGCTAGAAGTGAAACTGTGGATCAAGTGGCAGAACACCAGCTTTGAGTAAAAAAAAAAAACTAAGGGATACTGGCCATGCCTCAGTACTTGCAAAGAAAAGAACCTAAGATACGTTAGAACCTATGCTTTAAAACGTACTTCCTTTAAAAGGCTCTTCCTATTGAGAAAGATGCTATCTGGATCCAAGTCTAACTCTGACAACAAATGTGACCAAGAGTTCTTGAATTTGGCAAGGAAAGAAAAATGATGAAACGAAGAGGAAATGTCCTGAAGCAGATTTCTGCCATGAGGAAACAGCCTGACTCCAGTCTCTTGAGATCAATTTGCAAAAGCACCAATGATTTCACATGACTTTCAATCACCAGGAAAATGCAAAAACAGGGAAAAGCAATTTCTCAGTAATATCAGACTCCCTAAACAGACTAGAACTCAACAGAGAGATGAGATCAAAATCTTCTATACTTGGAAAAGGGAATACCAGTGATAGGAAGCTACAGTGTCTGTAATGACAGAGATGGGAATACATATCAAGCACACAGGTTTTTTTTTTCAGGGCTCTCATATCAAGCACACATGTTGTTACCTAAGGTGGAGTTTTTCTAGCCCAGCATCAGCAAGGTCATCATTGGCCCTTTGATGTATGTCCCTCTGTGTTTCTATTTTGTGATCATCAGACAGACCATCAACTTTGTGAATAAAAACCTCAAAATTCATATCTGGGTTAACTTTGTAGGCTTTAGAAACAGTTATGTGAAGTCTTGTTAAAGCCTCCATGTAGTCATCCTGTAAGTCAGAACAAAATATTTTTTAAGAAATCATACAAAAAGCAAGTAATGAGTTATGCCTCAAACCACCCCAATTACAGAAAATATATCAACCTAATCATAATATTCAAATACTCAAATACACCAACCTATAATAATAAATAGCTCTGCATTTTCTTTAGAAATTCAAAACCTAAGCCTGTTATTTGAATATAGTAATATTAAGGAAAAGGGAAACAAACATCTCTCCCACATAGAATTTTTAAAGTAATCCCAGCTCTGCCATTAATCAAGCACATGGCTTTAGGCAAGTTGCTTAAATTCTGATCTCAGCTCACTCATCTGAAAAACTGGAATTATAATACCTACCCTCACAATATTGTATAGATTGGCTTATGTATATGAAAGCACCTAACACTTGGAAAGCATTCCTAACTGGAATATTTAAGCTTACATAAAGTAAGCTCTTTAAGAACAGGGATTCATCTGACTAATTGCCACATGGTAGGCCTTAAGAAGTGCTTGTTGAACTAAATTCAATTCAAACAATTTAAGTAAATTACTCATTCTGATATATACTGACTCGGGCTGGGAAGGTGGCTCAGCGGTAGAGGCCCTGGGTTTGATTCCTCAGCACCACATAAGCAGAAAAAGCTGGAAGTGGCGCTGTGGCTCAAGTGGTAGAATGCTAGCCTTGAGCTGAGCCCAGGCCCAGAGTTCTTTTCAGTGAGTATATCACTATTATAATAAAGTACAGAAATACCTACTATTAACCAATAAAAGTAGGAAACCAGAGTAAAATACTTATTAACTAGGACTCAAAGATACCAATCACTTCTAACCACCTGATACTCTAAAACTGCACAATAACAAGCCTGCTCCCCAAAAAACACTCTGCAGCTGTACCTCTTCTACTATCAGGGAACCTAGCAACAAAGTAAAAAGTTATGAATATATGACAAAAGAAGAACGAATAGACATCATTATTCCTAACTACCTGTGCATCAATGACATATATCAATGCTCCTGTTCCCCTGAAGATCATTTCATAATCAAAGGTTGGGTCAAAAAAGTCCATCTGCCCAGGAAAATCCCAAATCTGGAAATTCACAAAGGAGCTATTGGAAATGTCGTCTTTATAAATCTTGTTGGTACTTTCCAAAAAAAGAGTCTCATTGGGTGACATCTTATGAAACACCACCTGTTAAAAAAGAATGACAATTTTACGACTGCACAAGCTCAGAATTTAACCATGAGTTACAAGTACATTCAAAATGCTACCCTGGATTAACACTGAAAATTTTAAACCTGTAGCAGAAAAGAAGGAAAGAAAATTAAGGTAAAAATTGAATGTTGACTCTACTATTCTTATTTCTGACAAAAGATAGCAAATTAATTCCCATTTTCAATCTATTTTGAAGCTGAAAGTTTTCTGCTATTTTAATGGTACCATTAGTAGTACTACTAGTAGTCACTTACCTACATTGTTTGTTTTGGTTTTGATTTACTTTGACATTGTCTCACTATGCCTGTCAGATTGGCTTCAAAAGATTTACCAACATCAATCTCCCCAATGCTGGGATTAGAGGAATGCAACACACAAAAGATTCAAGTTTTTGTAGTTTGTGTTTGTTTTTGTTTGTTTTGTTTTTCTGACAAGCATTTAAAGTTTTCAAAATCCATTTAGGAGATCATGGAAGTTTAAGAAACTGGGTCTTTTTTTTTTTTTTTGGGGGGGGGGGGGTGAGTCTTGAACTCTGGGCCCAGGTGCTATCTCTGAGCTCTTTTGGTCAAGGCTAGAGCTCTATCATTAGACCTACAGTTCCACTTCTGGTTTTCTACTAGTTAATTGGAGATAAGAGTCAGGGACTTCTCCAGTCGGAGCTGGCTTAAACCCTGACCCTCAGGTCTCAGCCTTCTTACAGGCATAAGCCACCAACGCCAGGCTTAGTTTAAGTTTTGTTCATCCAAAGTCATTCAATCCTAGCTACTCAGGAAACTCAGATCAGAGGATCTAGGTTCAAAGCTAGCTTGGGCAGACACATCTCTATCCAGCAAAAAGCTGGAAGTAGGTGTGGCTTCAGTGCTGTAGGACCAGCTTTTTTTTTTTTTTTTGAGGAAGGGGAAAGAGGCTCAGAGGCCCAGAGTTCAAGGCACAGGACCAGTTACTCAAATGCCTACTTTAACTAGTTCTGGAATAAAAAATGAAACATTGGATCCTGGCCTGGCTAAGTTCGCAGTCTAAGTAGAAAGTGAAAATATCCAAAGGAGGAAGGCCTATGGAAGTAGGGAATAGGCAGCTCCCATAACACAAGAAAGGGTAAAGTCAATTCATGACTGGGGATGTATCACTGGTAGAGGTTAGCCTACTAACTCTAGGCTCAAAAAAAATAAAAAAAAAAACCTCAATACTAAGTAATACTTTGGCTCTCACAATTACTTTAATCTTTTATAAAGATAAAAAGTTACTTGAAGTTACTTGCACAATTTTGTCGGTAACAAGTCGAATAAAAATCAGTTTGCTGAAAACATCAACACAGGCAAGTCTTGCTGGAGATGAAAAACAAAACACAGAAATGCAGAAAATTCGAAAGAGAGTTTCTCTATGAAAAAACAAAAAAAAACATCGCGAGGTTTACTTTTAAGATAGGCCTTCCCAATAGAGTGGATCTAGGATATAAATTGTTAGAAGCTCGCAGTGTGTCTAACAGAGATGGCAGGCGGAAAAAACAGACACAGAGTTCTGCCTCTATTTCCCCTTTAATTAAAAAAAATGTATGCCAGGGCTGGGAAGGTGGCTCAGTGGTAGAGCGCTTGCCTTGCATGCATGAGGCCCTGGGTTCGATTCCTCAGCACCACATAAGCAAAAAGAAAAAAGCCGGAAGTGGTGCTGTGGCTCAAGTGGTAGAGCGCTAGCCTTGAGCTGAAGAGCTGAGGGACAGCGCCCAGGCCCAGAGTTCAGGCTCCACGACCGAACCAAGAAAGAAAAAGTATGCCCTCACCTTTCCTTCTTAACCCAAAGTTAAAATAAATGGTCTGATGTTGAGGTGTAACATTCTTAGATATCTTTGGCTTGGGGTAATGGTGTAGAGCTGTAATAATCCCAGCATTCCCAAGAAGGAAGCAGGACGATCTTGAGTTCAAGGGTGGCCAGGGCTACACAGAGAGAGACTGTCACCAAACAGAAAGACTCCTAAGGTTTTTATAACTACACACCTACCAGACAAGTGTCACTGTAACTACACTTTGATCACAGGTACTCAGATATGTACAGGAACAGCACCCGCTCTAATAATGTCTCAGCGAAGTCTTCAAGACTTCAGCACAAGAACTCAGGTGCCCCGGAGCCTTAGTGCAGGACAGGGAGTCTCCCAGGCTCTCTCCACGTGAGAACCGTCGCGTCCAGGCGTCAGGGACTGGGTGCCAAGGGGCGGCGACGTGGGGCGGGGCCCGGGACACCTACCCCTCTCAGTCAGTTTCGCCTCCCGAACTCTACCCGGCCCCCGCCGACTCCGGGGTCCCCGCGCGGGCGGCGCCTCGGCCTCTGCACTCGCAGCAGCAGAGGAGAAAGTGCCGCGCTGGAGCCCAGCGCCAGGCCGGCTCGGCCGCCGCCCTCCCTCTCCGTCCCCCCACCCCCGCGCCCGGCCACCTGAGCCCTCGCCAGGCGAGGGGAGGGGGCGGGCGGAGGACCCCACGCCTTTCCATTCACCTTCTGGATGGAGGACTTGCCGCTGCGCCTCAGCCCCATAAGCAGTATCCTCGGCTTGGAGCTCTCCGCGCCCCCCGGGCCACAGCCGCCGCCAGCCCCCGCCCCGACGCCGCCGCCCGCCGCCGCCGCCTCCTCTTCCTCTTCTTCCACGCCGTAGCCGAAGTCCTTAGGGAACGAATCCGCCGCGCCGTAACTGCCGGCGAGGGGCGGCTCTTCTGCCCCGTACTGCAGGGACATGGTGCTGGACCGCCGCCGCCCGCGCCCTGACAGGCCAGGCCAGGCCAGGCCGCCGCCTCCCCAGCCGCTGCCACTGCCGCTGCCGCCGCCCCCGGCCGCTACCGCCGTCCTGCCCGCCCCCAAGCCTGGCTATGATAGGCTTCTAGCTGGGACCCAGCCCCTCATTGGCTCCCCGAGACGCCACTCGGAAGCAGCAAGGTTGGTGGTGTACATCACGTGCTCAGAATCACCTGACTCGCGGCCGCCGAGGGGCGGGGGAGGAGTCACGAGGAGGGCGGCCCCGCCGCGCCTCTGGTCCAGCTAGTAAGCTTCGGCCCGTCCCTGGGCTCCCCAGTTCCCCTTCGCGCTGTCTGCCAGCCTTCTGGCACCGATAACACCGCCAGAGATGTTCTGGGAATTCGGGGAGTCTATTGTCCTCCTCCTGCGTTTGTATTCACTCAGCTAATACTGATGTCTGCGATATCCTGGATGCCTAAAGGGGGACTTGAAACTGAAATCGACTCGGGCCCGGCCTGTCCTCGAGTTGAAGACTAACCGAGATTGAACCTCTGCGTAAGTAACCTCGGTGTGAGCTGTTATGTAGGAAGGCCACGGGCACGGATGAAATGCTCGACAACTGGGTGAGAGAGACTAGACTCTAAGCACGTGTAGATGAATGAATAAGGTTGGGATAAGGTAAAGGAAGTCAGCGAGCAAAACTCAACCCAGGGTAGCTAGGTAGGGGTCAGTGTGATCACTTTTTCTTGCAGGTACCTAGACCAGACAGGAAAGCAAATCCAACCAAGCTGGAACATCTTTTTGCAGTAGATGGCTGAGTGACTACTGCTACCACCTCAAACTCAGGACTCAGCTGCTTCTCCCCAAGACAGTCAAGTCTGCCCCTCTAGTAACTGTTTCTATAGAATGTTGTTAACTTCCACATCGCCTTCAGATTAGAGACTAAAGAAATGACTAATGAAAAGCAAATGCGTTACCAAATGTTTGAGAAAGCTTAAGGAAATTTCATGGTTCCATATCTAGAGTTGAAAATTAAGACTCAAAGCACGGCCCCTATACATTTAAAAAAGGCAATGTAGTGGACTTGATCTCTCAAGCAGACTGTTGTAATACCGGGGATGAAACCCTGGTCCTCTGTGCATGTTAAACCAATGGTCTACCACTGGATATGCCCAGAGACTGACTTCTTGATGGGAGAGTATGTTTCCTCACCAGTTATATAGAAACCTAGAATTTAAAGGTAGGAAAAACCAGTAAACATCTAGTCCAAACTTGCACCTAAAATCAACTCTGTAGTATCTTGACAGACATATAGAATGTACCTAGACTCTTGGTTTTCATGGGGGATTAGTTCCCCTGTGGATTATACCTCCCAATTCTATTAACTGATTAAAGTATGATCAAGTTCCTTATATAAAATGCCTTAGTATTTGCATACAACCCATACACCTCTTCCCATATAATCTTTACACTACTTAAAAATAATCTAGTAGGGCTAGACACTGGTGGCTCACATCTGTAATTCTAGTGACTCAGGAGGCTGAGATCTGAGGATCATGGGTTCCAAGCCAGCCCACGCAGGAAAAGTTTGTGAGAGACTTATTTTCAATTAACCATCAGAAAACCAGAAGTGGTGCTCTGGCTCAAAGTGGTAGAGCACTGGCCTTGAGCGGAAAAAGGTCAGGGACAAGTGCCCAGGCCCTCTTTTCAAGCCCCACAACCAACCAAAATAATAATACAACACTGGAAATAGTATGGAGTTATATTACTTAGGGAATAAAAACAAGAAGAGACTGTTCTGTACAGAAATTTTTTTCAAATATTCTCAATTCACGACTTGTTGAATCCACAGACACAGAACTCATGGATAGAGGGCTATAGTTCAAATGGATAGCTAACTCAAAAGAGCCAATTCCACCATAGCAGTTTTGTCTAAAAACATATTCAAGTCACACTTCCTAAGTCTATAATGTAAATAGAAGAGGTCTTCATGTTTTTTATAGCAACCCCTCAAATACTAAATTGCAGTTATTTTTACCCACCAAGACAGTTGTCTCTGTCCTCCTTGAACATTTACAGTTCCTTCAATCATTCCTTCTATGATGGTGTCAATAAAACTTTCTGTGGTGACAGAAATGTTTTATGTCTATTTTATTCAGTCTAATAGCCACTAGCCACATATGGAATGCCCACTAGAATTGTTGCTAGTGTGAATTAGGAACTGAATTCTTTTTTATTTGCCACATGTAGCTGATAGTTACTATGTTGGAAAAACACAGCCTTATAGCTGGTAGTTACCATGTTGGAAAAACAAGCCTTATATTTTCAAGTCTTCCAAATCAGGAGTGGGGAACCTTCTTCCTGACAAAGATATTTATAATGTCACTCATGGGCCATAAAAGATTGTGAATATAGGCTACAGGCAGCTGACAATGTACCATTCTGTAACAAATGATTCCTTGGGCCTTATTATTGCCTGTCAAGTAGAGAACAAAAAGGAGATGTATATAGCCTTCAGGATAATAGCACCTGGACAATATTTCTATTAATGTTTTTTCAGTAATCATAGTGTACAAGGGGTTCACACTGGTAATCATTCATAGTACTATGTCAGTAATCTTACTAACTAAACTTGTATAACTGCATTTTTGAATTTAAATCTAAGACTTGATATTTTAAACTTTTTCATTTAGGCCTGGCAGTTTGGGTGTCCCAGATTACCATTTAAAAACTTGTTCCAAGCAGGGCACTGGTGGCCTGTAATCCTAGCTACTCAGGAGGCTGAGATCTGAGGATCGCTGTTCAAAGCCAGCCCGGGCAGGAGAGACCAGGAGAGACCGTGAGACTCCTATCTCCAATAAACCACCAGAAAACCGGAAGTGGCGCTGTAGCTCAAGTGGTAGAGCGCTCGCCTTGAGCTGAAGAGCTGAGGGACAGCGCCCAGGCCCAGGGTTCAAGCCCCACGACCGACAAAAAAAAAAAAAAAAACTTGTTCCAATTTGGTTTAACAGCTCGCTCTTCTAATTCAGTGACACTTACAATTTAGCACTACTACCACCTGGTCTATATGTAGGCCTCACAGTATACAAAGCACTTCTGTATCCATTATATTTGATCCTTACAACAACTTTATGAGGTAGGCAAGATGTGAAATTTATGTTTTATAGATAAGGCAGCTAAAGTGTAACTGAACTGGTGTGATCTATCTTCAGTTCCACTGATCATCTTCTTGTAGACAGTCTTCACTCAAATCCTTTACAGGAATGTTAAAAAAGATAGCCTGGCACCAGCGGCTCACACTTGTAATCCTGGCTACTCACGAGGCTGAGATCTGAGGATCGTGGTTCAAAGCCAACCCTGGAAAGCCCATATGACTCTTAATGTCCAATTAAACACACACACACACACACACACACACACACACACACACACACACACACACACACACACACACACACACACACGCGCCCAAAGAAGGACTGTGGCTCAGAGCTAACCGAAAGAAAAACTAGCTCAGAGTCAATGCCCAGGCCTTGACTGGCACCAAAAAAAAAAAAAAAAAAAAACCTCTAGGCAAGGCTAACCCATATTACTAACTTGTAGAGCAGTTTGAATAGGGTAGTTCCACCTGAAAGTGTGATTATCCATCCCATTCTGTCCAAAAGGATGGTACAGAATGTGTTCAACTCACTGACATAAATAGCAACACTAGCCCCATGAGAAAAAAGCAAACAATGGTTGGCTTTCAGAAATAAAACTATTAGTTGGTTGCTGCTGGCTCACACTTGTAATCCTAGCTTACTAAGGAGACTTAAACCTGGAAAATCTTGTGGTTTGAAGCCAGGCCCAGCAGAAAAGTCATTGAGAATCCATCACTATTTAACCAGCACATTGGGAGAAAAAAAAAACCCTGGACTGGAGATGTGGCTCAAGTGATAGCGTAGCAGCCATGAACAGGCAGGCCAAACAAGCATGAGACTCAAGCCTCAGTACCAAACAACCAAAAAAACAAGCCTCTTTCCACAAGGGAATGATCATAATTACTTGAGGAAGCCTTCAAAGGGACATCTTAGCAAATCCTAAGCCATCTTTTATGTATCATAATCAACTTCCAGTCATTCATCTTTACCATAACCAGCACTTAGCTCAAAACTGCTATCCAGCTGGGCATGGTGCTATAATCCTAGCTACTCAGGAGGCTGACATCTGAGGATCGATGTTCAAAGCCAGCCCAGACAGGAAAGGCCATGAAACTCTTAGCTCCAATAAACCACTCAGAAAACTGTAAGTGGTGCTATGGCTCAAGTGGTAGAGCACTAGCGTTGAGCTAAAGAGCTGAGGGACAGCACCCAGGCCCAGAGCAAAAGCCCCATGACCAAAAAAAAAAAAGAAACCTGCTATCCATGTAGTCGCACTCACATTAGTAAAAGAGGAAGAAATCTATCCAAGTGAATGTTCTTCCATCAGTATCTGGCATCACTCCCAAAACAAACTTGTGACAGGAGGAAACATACAGCATGGCCACTTTTAAGCCAATTTGAGATTATAATGCCATTATCTTTAGTTTGTTCATTTTCGAGAAGATGCCAGTGCCTTTGCTAATTAAACCAGCTTTCATTGGATGTGCATTCTGACCAAAAACTAAGGTAGGCTTTCTAATTACAAGGATAGAGTACAAGAAACAGGAGCACTTCTAAGTATTAGTCTACCAGTGAAGAAAATAAGTGATTGACAAAACATCTGACCCTTAAGTCTTCAAAAAGACAGGAAAAAAGACTAACAAACAGGAATATAGTGCTTTACCATTTACAGATCTTGCACATACATTCTCATCTGACCCTCACAACAACCCTGTGAGGTAGGCAGTACAGATAGTCTTTCTCACTTAAGAGTTAAGGAAAGTAAATCGGAGTGGCTAACCAATGTGCCCAAGGTTAAAAACTAATTTGTATTAAGTATCAGTTTTTGGCCTAAAATTTCAATACCCAATCTCCTCATTCTTGCCCTACCTACTTCACAGGGATAACGAAGATAAAATGAGTTGAAGGCTAGAAAAATATTTTGAGAGAGGAAAAAACCACTACAGAATTAAATTCACAAACTATAATTTTCCATCATATATGGCTCATTTCCCTTTCCATCCCAGCTTATGCCGGGGCCCACAATTATATTAACTTCATTTTGTGCTCAACTTAGCAGTTAGGTAAGGCAGCATATCATTGTGATCCTGTTTAGAGTTATGTAAACTGCAATCGTGGTAACTGCATTATTAAGCAAACCGAAAACAAGGCTAGTATACAGCTAGGACTAACTAAAGCACAGAACAAAGGCAACATATGTGACAGGGCATGATTGCATAGAAGGGAAACATGTTGTCAAGTTCACACTGACACATACAGTTCTCTAAGGCAAAGTGGTGGCAAAGAAGAGTTATTTGTTCTGCATTATATAAACAGCAGAAGACTCCTAGAAACTCGTGCAAAAGCATCTTATGTCACACATCTTTCCAGCTGCCTAAAGGAATATAACTACTGTCATCAACATTGTAAAGAATGACTGTATCTATGCTCATATCCTGAACCAAACCAAGAAATACAACTCTGTGCTAAAATTCCTTGGCTAAACCACAACCAGTACCATCATTCTCAACCAGACTAATAAAACAGTGTCCTTTAAGGTAATTAATTGGTTGACGGTTTAGATTTCCTTCAGAATTTCCTTTGGATTCTCCTGCTTTAAGACCCAATGAATGTAATATTAAGTTTTATTAGTGATTCTAAATATATGTGTTTAATAACAAACTGTGATAAGTGAACTTAACATATTAAAAGAGTTTTATAGCATCTGTCCAGAAAAGATTATATACTATACAAACTATTCAAGTCATACAAAACCATTTTTCAGTGTCTTTTCAACTGAGAAGAATCCTATTCAGCACGCTTCTCCTCTTGAGGTGGTTCATACTGAGCAAGCTATGGGGCAAAGACAGAGTAGTTTAAGTAAATTTTATTCTAAGGTAAAAAAAACATAGTAACAAAAAAGTTTGGATAATTATATCCCATTTAGTTAATCACTAACTACAATATAAACCTATACTAATGAAAGCCCTTTTCTGTAAACTTTTACTATTACTGGAAAACTGATATTTAATTTCAGTTCTTGACTGAACATTTGATATTTGCATATCAAAGATTTTATATGCAATCATTTGCATCTTCCCAAACATGCTATAAGGATCCATCATCCTAGCCACCAAGTTTGTTGAAATTTCCCCCTAGAGGAAAAGTGTTTCGTAACATATTGATTTGGTCAGTCAATGAACAGTCACTAAGGTCTTTGACTTAGAAGGTTAACTAGCAATTGCACAATGTAAAAACTTAAGATAATTGAAGATACTGTGGGGTTTTTTGTTTGGTTGTTTTTTTTGGTCGGTTGTGGGGCCTGAACTCTGGGCCTAGGCACTGTCCCTCAGCTTTTCAGGTCAAGGATAGTGCTCTACCACTTGAGCCACAGCACCACTTCTGACTTTTCCTGCTTTTGGGGTGCTGAGGGATCGAACTCAGGGTCTCATGCATGCAAGGCAAAAACTACCACTGAGCCACCTTCCCAGCCCTATTTTTTTTTTTTTTGTCAGTCATGGGGCTTTGAACTCTGGACCTGGGCACTGTCCCTCAGTTCTTCAGCTCAAGGCTAGTGTTCTACCACTTGAGCTATAGCACCACTTTCTGGTTTATCTGGTGGTTAACTGGAGATAAAAGAGTTTCACAGACTTTCCTCCCAAGTTAGCTTTGAACCGTGATCCTCAGATCTCAGCCTCCTTAGTAGCTAAGATTACAGACGTGAGCCACCGGCATCTGGCCCTAGGTTTTCTTTTATACTAAATTGTGGTTCCTTGAAACAACACATAGGGTTCTTCCAACTGGCTGTCAGAATGAAAAGTTTATTATGCTTCAAATGCCTCATATACCTATTTTACTACTTCATACTATGAGAAATACCTAGAGGAACATAAAATGCATTATATGATTTAGAATGTAGTAAAACCTCAAAGGTTTATAGTAGATCTTGAAGTATATGAAGTTTCATGGGAGTTTGAACAAAGAAAAAAAACTTTAAAGCTAGATAAAATTAAGGGCAGTTCAGTTCTCTAAATTTACTCACCCTAGGCCACTAGACACAATAGTGCAAACTGTGCACTGCGCAACTCTAAAAGGCACTGTTCACAAAGCAGTAGCCTTATCCTGACCTTAACTATCTTAGAATTATGCATTTATTTAGACACAGCATTAACCAGTATTCCCATCTTTTTGCTGAACAAGTTCCAAAGAACTTCTTCATGACCAGTTTGCTTGTCCTGTTTAGTTTGTACTGTGTGAAGCCTAAGTTTTCCCTGCATTCGATTCAGCTTGATTTTTACCTTCCTCTTTCCCTGACTGCTCATTTTAGTGAAATTTTGTTTTGGTTTGGCTTTTAGAGTGCTAACGGTTGAACCCATTGCCTTGCTCATGCTAGGCAAATTATCACTGAACTATATCCCCAGCCTTTTAGTGAAGTTTTCATTAGATAATTAAAAGTAAAAAGTTAAACATAAATTCCTTTCAAAATTTTACCTTTGCTTTCAGTTTTTTATTTTCTTCTACAGTAGCTTCATATTTTTCTTTCATTTCTGCCAATTCTAGGCGAAGCAGCTCTATTTCTGCATTTTCTGGGGTGGCAGCTCCTAAGTGATGCTTTAAAAAACTAACATCAATGTTAAAGAAATTACTTCGTAGTGTTGAATAAAATTAATGAAATGTTAAGAGTAGCATAAACATCCCTGACCAGAATTACCCACCAGACCACCAATATTTACCCAGAAATCACCATCTAAAAACTCAAACCTGGGGCTGGGAAGTTGGCTCAGTGGTGGAGCGCTTGCCTTGCATGGATGAGGCCCTGGGTTTGATTCCTCAGCATCATATAAGCAAAAAGAAAAAAGCCAGAAGTAGCGCTGTGGCTCAAGTGGTAGAGTGCTAGCCTTGAGCTAAAGAGCTGAGGGACAGCGCCCAGGCCCAGAGTTCAGGCCCCACGACTGGACCCAAAAAAAAAACTCAAAACGTTTTTAATAAGCAAAAATATTTTAAAGGTTGTTTTTGTTGTTTTGTTGGTCGTAAGTCTTGAGCTAACTCTGGGCTTGGGCACTGTCCCTCAGCTCTTCAGCTCAAGGCTAGTGCTCTACCACTTGAGCCACAGTGCCACTTCCAGTTTTCTGGTGGCTAACTGGAGATTAAGAGTCTCAAGAGCCGGGCGCCGGTGGCTCACGCCTATAATCCTAGCTACTCAGGAGGCTGAGTTCTGAAGATCTCGGTTCAAAGCCAGCCTGGGCAGGAAAGTTTGTGAGACTGTTATCTCCAATAAACCGCTAGAAAACCAGAAATGGTGCTGTGGCTTAAGCGGTAGAGTGCTGTCCTTGAGCTGAAGAGCACAAGGACAGCGCCCAAGCCCAGAGTTCAAGCCCCACCACCGACAAAAAAAAAAAGTCTCATGGACTTTCCTGCCCAGGCTGGTTTTAAACAGCAATCCTCAGATCTCAGCCTCCTGAGTAGTTAGGATTACAGGCAAGAGCCACCAGTGCCTGGCAAGTTTTTATCTAATGTGAAAGAAAATAAGAATTTCAAAAATAAGGTGCCTTTTTCTGACTCCAAAAATGAAAAGGATACTCCAAAGCACTATTAGGTTTCTCTGGTTCTTCATATAAGGCTACCAACACTGCAAATCAGAAAGCAAGAAAAAAGCAACAATTAAAGTCTTAAATTTGAATGGCTGAAATGCTTTATAATTCACTAAGTGTAACAACAATTACATGCCAAGACTATCCACACAGTTGTGAACACATCAAACAAGGTCCCTCCTTAAAACTTAGAATCCATTGCATAAGATAAGCAAAAAATTGAATAGAATAACAAATAGCAGCACTGGAATGATTGATACAGAGCACAAGGCTCCAGAAAGGGAAAAGAAGACAGAGACTTGGCAATAAGTGGTTTAGACAAGGGAAGGTTTAGGAGACAAAAGAACAAGAACAATTCCAGTATGGCTAGGTGGAGTTATGGGTTATGTGAATGGAAAGATCTGGATCCAAACTAGGGAGGGACATATAAGTTTGGTTGGACTTTGAACCTAAGAACAACAAGCATATAATTAAACCTTTTTAAGCAGAGGACTGACAGAGTCACTCCAGACTGCTTATTGGCAGGCACTTTCTTAAGTGCAAGGATAATGACTAAGAAGCTAATGTAGCAACCCAGGTTAAAAAGACAGTGATAGAGATCATGATGTATAATTTTTTATTTTTTATTTTTTGGTCAGTCATGGGGCTTGAACTCTGGGCTTAGGCATTGTCCCTCAGCTCTTCAGCTCAAGGCTAGAGCTCTTATCCCTTGAGCCATAGTGCCACTTCCCCTTTCCCGGTAGTTAATTGGAGATAAGAGTCTTGTGGGGACTTTCTTGCCTGGGCTGGCTTTGAACCAGATCCTCAGATCTCAGCCTCCTAAGTAGCTAGGACTAGAGGAGTGAGCCACTGGTGCCCAGCTGATTTTAATGGCAGCAGTTTCTATGCAGTAGACCAAAAGATTTTGATGAACTGTTTAATTTTTACAAGTTGCATAATTTGTTTTCTTGCAAAATAAAAATGTAATATAAATGCTTTCACCTAAAAAAAAAAAAAAAAGACAATGACAGAGATTTTAGGAGAAAAGCAATAGGGCTGAGAAGAATCTTTCAATTCAAAATGTCCAGACTGAAGGGGATTTTTTTGTATCAGTAGTTGGCCTTGAACTCAAGACTGAGCACTGCCCTAGAGCTTTTTTAAAAACTCAAAGCTAGTAATCTACTACTTGAGCCATAGCTCTACTTATGGCTTTTTGGTGGTTAATTGGAGATTAAATTTTTAAAAACAATCTCAGGGGCTTTCCTGACTGGACTGACATTGAACCATGATCCTCAGATCTCATCATGAGTAGTTAGGATTACAGGCATGAGCTATAGGTACCAGGCTAAGATTGAAGTTTTGAGACAGCATACTAAATAATCACCAGCCAAAGACCATTTATCAATGTTCTCAGATCAGCTTTAAAATATATATTAGAGCCAGGCACCAGTGGCTCACGCCTGTAATCCTAGCTACTCAGCAGGCTGAGATCTGAGGATTGTGGTTCAAAGCCAGCTCCCACAGGAAAGTCCATGAGATTCTTATCTCCAACTAACCACCAAAAAACCAGAAGTCCATGAGACTCTTATCTCCAACTAACAGCCAAAAAACCAGGAGTGGTACAGTGGCTCAAGTGATAGAACACTAGCCTTGAGCTGAAGAGCTAAGGGACAATGCCGAGGCCCAGAGTTCAAGCCCCATGACCGACAAAAAAAAAAAAAAATATATATATATATAAATATACACACACATATATATATATAATATGCAGTAATATATATAACAGCTCCTGTGAGCACTAGCTTATCTATTGATAAGCAAATGCCTCCTAGAATTTATTAATGTCTTAAAGCAGTAGCTAACAGTTTAGAGCATGAAACTCTGAAGTCTGACAAAAAGCAAAAAATACATACTTCTACAAAAAATGCATATGTACAGCTCAAGAAGTCCTGTGCTAAACCAATTCATGTGTCCCTTTTATCTTTTAATAACTTAAAATAATAAAGACAATATGGAAAATCGAACTGGCAACTACTTTTACCTTCAGCTACTAAATCGGTCAGTGGAACTTATGAGGTTGATAACTGCAGAATGTAAATATTAAGATTCCTGTGCTTGTCTATGGATGAATACACTTCCTTTAATCAGATAAAGAAAGCTTCGTACCAAATCATGTTCCCCTTTTTGCTTTAGCAGCCAGGATTTTTTTTTGGGGGGGGGGGGGAGTCCGGTCGTGGGGCCTCAACTCTGGGCTTGGGTGCTGTCCCTCAGCTCTTCAGCTCAAGGCTCTACCACTTGAGACAAAGTGCCACTTCCGGCTGTTTTCTTTTTGCTTATGTGGTGCTGAGGAATCAAACCCAGGGCCTCCTGCATGCAAGGCAAGCGCTTTACCACTGAGCCATCTTCCCAGCCCAGAAGCCAGGATTCTTAGAGGTTGGCACTGTCCCTATAAGTTTTCTATTCAAAGTATTCTAAGCATGAAGTTTCATATACAGCATGCTAAATAAGCACCAACTAAAAACTATTAGTACACTCAGATCAGCAATAAAATATACTGTCATATTTTCATATCTAATAATTCACATGAGTACTACTTTGTACATTCATTGAATAAACTCAAATTTTTAGTACCCATATAAAAATAACTAAAATGGGGCTGGGAAGGTGGCTCAGTGGTAGAGTGCTTGCCTTGCATGCATGAGGCCCTGGGTTCGATTCCTCAGCACCACATAAGCAGAAAAAGCTAGAAGTGGTGCTATGGCTCAAGTGGTAGAGTGCTAGCCTTGAGCTGAAGAGCTGAGGGACAGTGCCCAGGCCCAGAGTTCAGGCACCATGACTGGCAAAAAAAAAAAAAAACTAAAATGTCTCCTCTTCCAAACGATTTGTTTTGTGTATGCTGGTCCTGGGGCTTGAACTCAGGGCCTAGAGGATGTCCTGAAGCTTTTGTGTTCAAGTCTGATATAAGAAGCTAATAGAGAAACCCAGTTTAAAAAGACAGTGATAGAGATGATAATACTGTATTTTTTTTTTTTGGGGGGGGGGGGGTCATGGGGCTTGAACTCTGGACCTGAGCATTGTCCCTCAGCTCTTCAGCTCAAGGCAGCACTCTACCACTTGAGCCACAGTGCCACGTCCAGTTTTCTCGTAGTTAATTGGAGATCATAGTCTCAAGGGCTTTCCTGTGGGAGCTGGCTTTGAATCACAATCATCAGGTCTCAGCTTCCAGAGTACCAAGGATTACAAGCATGAGCTACCAATGTTGAGCTGACCCATCTTTACCCTTTCTCTTACAGTGTTCTAATGTTAGAAGCAAATTCAAATCCTCCTTAAATAGCTGGTAAAAATAATGTAAATTAAATCTGTACAAAGCATATATGTTGGGCTGGGAAGTATGGCTCAGTGGTAGAGCGCTTGCCTTGCATGCATGAGGCCCTGGGTTCGATTCCTCAGCACCACATAAGCAAAAAGAAAAAAGCCGGAAGTGGCGCTGTGGCTCAAGTGGTAGAGCGCTAACCTTGAGCTGAAGAGCTGAGGGACAGCGGCCAGGCCCAGAGTTCAGGCCCCACAACTGGACCAAAAAAAAAAAAAAACAAAGCATATATGTTTAAAGCTCAAAACCAATAGATTCTGTTATCTGGTGCTACTCAGGAGACTGGAAATTTAAGAGACTGAGGGCTTAGATTCTTGTGTACAAGTGTGCAAAGGAAAAGAAATCTCCAGGTTTCCATCACTAATGAAGGAAAATCCTTGAATAGCTATAACCTGTGCATATTCTGTGCATTCAGTTTTTCCAAACTGTCACTTTTCTGCCTTTTACTATACTGTTTTTATTAACTCCATCTAGCCACCTTGGCCTTTTTTTTTTTTTTTTTTTTTTTGGTCGGCCGTCGGGCTTGAACTCTGGGCCTGGGCGCTGTCCCTCAGCTCTTCAGCTCAAGGCGAGCGCTCTACCACTTGAGCTACAGCGCCACTTCCGGTTTTCTGGTGGTTTATTGGAGATAGGAGTCTCACGGTCTCTCCTGGTCTCTCCTGCCCGGGCTGGCTTTGAACAGCGATCCTCAGATCTCAGCCTCCTGAGTAGCTAGGATTACAGGCGTGAGCCATCAGCGCCCGGCTCACCTTGGCCTTCTTATCTTGGCTCAGTATCCCTTATCCAAAATGCTTGGAACCAAAAATATTTCCAGCTTTTTTTCAGATTTTGGAATGCTTGCACATACATAAAATGAGATATCTTGGGGATAGAATCAAAGAGTAAACATGAGATCTTTTGTTTCAAATACACTTTATATACAAAGCCTAAAGGTAATTTTATACAATACTTTTAGGCTGTTGTATTTCAACTGACATGTCACATACAGTTACATGTCAACAGTGCCTCACACCTTTAATACTAGCTATTCCAGAGGCTAAGACCTGAAGATTGACATTTGAAACCAGCACAATCAGACAAAGACTATTTCTAATTCACTAGCAAAAGTAGAGCTATAGCTCTAGAGGAAGAACACCATCTTTGAGCAAAAAAGGCAAGCAAGAATGTGTGGCTCTACTACATACACACACACAAAAAAAAGGGGGGGGGAGGCATTTTGGATTTCAGATCAGTTTAGGGATGCCTGACCTGTTATTTCCAAGAGTTCTTGACATCATACATTGTTTCATTTAAATCTCTGCTCAGTTATCTTATAAGCAAGGCTGTCCACATTGTTTCATTTAAATCTCTGCTCAGTTATCTCATAAGCAAGGCTGTCCCCAGTACTCTATGTAACTTTATTCCCTTAACTGTGTACCAAGACTTTAGTCTGAACATTTACCGCTATCTGACATAGCACTATACGTTTCTTTGCAGATCATCTGTCTCCCTAATTCCCATACAAACTCATAAGAACTAGGCCTTACTTCACCACTGTATCCACTGAAAGGAAGGAACATATTTCTTGAGAGAATGTCACTCCAAGCATCTGTGACACTACCAGAGACAACATAGCACAGTGTTTTTATGAAGTAGTTTCTTAGTATTTGCTAGTTTATTTGTAAAGACAGCGAAATCTACCTTCACCAAAGTTGGTAGCTATTCAAAATTGCTAACCCATCCAGGTATGAGAACTAAAAGCCCTGCTTCTTGCTAAAACTTGTCCATTCTCCCAATTTTCCCCTAACCTTTGTTTCCCCCATAAGATAACCAAATTATTTTGCTTTCTAATCTTCCTATTCTCATATGGACCATGGTCCTCATCCACCAAGCAATTCACTTAACTCTAGAAAAATCCTACCCAGTGCACTGAGATGTTACAAGGCCTTCAAATTACTTAATGCTCAGCTAATAAAGAAAGCAATATTACACAATCTTGGAATCCTCAGGTTTCAAGCACCTTACCTACTCAAACTCAAGACAAAAGAGATACGGAATAACAGTATGCTTCCATTTAAAAAAAATGTCAGCAATAGCTGGGCACCCACTGTGGCTCATGCCTGAAATCCTAGCTACAAAGGAGGCTGAGATCTTAGAAGCGCTTCGAAGCCAGCCCAGGCAGGAAAGTCCATCAGATTCTTATTCCAGTTAACACCAAAAAAAAAAACAAAACCTGGAAGTGGAACTGTGGCTCAAGTGGTAGAGTGCTAGCCTGGAGAAAAAAAAAATTTAAAAACCTCCGGTAACAGCGGAGTTCAAGCCCAGGACCAGCGCGCATGCACACGTGCACGCGCACACAGTCAACAAAATCATCTTCAGAGTGCTCTCAAGCTCCTTAAACTGTCAATTCTACTTTAGTTATGAAATCTACACAAAAGAATTGCTGTATCAGTCTTAAGGAATGGAAGTTGAAAAGCCTGTGGATAGCCAAGTTGTCTACGAGTTGCCCATTTAGGGAATTTAACCCCACTGAGTCACTTTATAGCCTACTTTCAAATCTGGTCGTTTATCCAGGAGCTCCTGGTTCGAGGAAAAATGTTAAGATTCTTAAGACTCCGCCAAGTGTGCGAGGGCGGGAGGGATTGGGGTTTCAAGGTCTTTAGCAAACATGTCCACTGTAACTGCTCGAGGCAAAGCAACGGAAGTTGGAGAGACTTTGCAACAGCTGCAAGAGTTTCACTCCTCGCGGCGAGCGGTGGCAGGAGCGAGGCTCGAGGGCCGGGCCGGACTGGGCGGCATCCGGCGGCGGTGTGCGCCGGGCTCGCTGGGCCGCCGCGCCCCCGGGCTCACCTCTCCGGATCCCCGGCTGCACGGGCCCCACCTGTTCCCCTCGGGTCCCCACGCCCCAGCCCCTCGGGAGCCGCACTGAAGAGCACCAAGGAGCCCTGTCCTGGCCCACGCTCACCCTTGGTCAGTGTGTCCAGCACCCCCGACTTCTCCAAGTATCTCCGGAACTGCTCACGCTTCGAGTCGGCGGCCTGAGGAGACACCGCGGGGTAGTGACCCGAGCCCGGGGGCCGGAGCAGGAAGAAGGCGCTGGGAGTCCGGCCACCCCGCCTCGCCTCGCCTCGCCACCTCGAGCCCCTAAAACCTGCACGCGCGCCCCAGCTCCCACCCGGAGCCGACCAGCGGCTGGCAACCGCCCGCACGCCCCCAGCCACGCCGCGCCCCCCTCACTTTGTAATGGGCCATAGTGACAGCGGCGTCGCTGGCGCCGAGACTCGGGCTGGCGGGCTCAGAGGAGCACTGCTCATGCGCGCCGGGGGCTGTGCGCCTGCGCTGTGACCAGATTCGGGCCCGGGTGGCCGGGGCGGGGCCTGTTTTCATGGCGACCAGGACGCCGTGCCTCTGCCATGGCAGTCCGAGCCCAGGGAGGCTGCGTACGCCCGCCCCTGCGGCTGCCCTTTCCTTCCCCCTAGCCTTCCTCTTCCGGTCCCCCGGCGCGGCGGTTGCTGAGCGGAGAGGCCTGGGCTCGGGAGCTCCTCGCAAGTGTCCAGGTGGGGCCCCAGGTGGGCGTGGTGCCGGGGCGGGGCCGGAGCGCGGGCCCGCGGCTTGGGGAGGGTTGGCCCTGGGAGGTGGGGAGGTGGAGGACGCCCCTTCTTGACCTGGGCCTTGGGAGTCGTGGCGGCCTATCTGTTTGTGCCGGGCTTCTTGGCTTTCGTCCGAAAAAAGAGGAGGGGGAACAAAACGCGCTGGACGCACGCAGGGGCTCGGGCGCTCATGGCTGGAGCAGGGAGTGTTTGGTTAGATCGAGTTTGAAGCCCGGCTTTTCCTGTGAAAAGCTGTTTTTGTGGCTGACTCCCAGGGGCCTCTGGAAGTAAGCCGTGTGCTAACAAGCTACGCTTTTGAGCTAGAATTGTGTGTCGGTCCGCGTTCTAAACAGAGTTTTCGTTTTAATCCTCACACCACCCACGTAGGACAAGTAGTAAATGGGCGAGGTTGCCGGAGCAGAAGTAGAGCCGAAACAGACTCCAATCCCGGAAGTAAATCCCCAGGCTGCAAAACCTGTGAAAGCCAGCCTGGGCCCCTTTTAACATTTTTATTTGCCAGATAGCATTGTGATTGTACTTAACACCCGTCAGTTTGCAAGTGTTAGTTCAACAGCAAGTCTCTTAAGTTATCTAATAAAAGAGCAAACAAAATCAATTTCGTGTCCAAAGGAAAAAAATTAATAACTAAAAGGAAAAACTATACAGATCAAGAAAAAATTTCCAAAGCCACAAGAAAACCTGGTCCCAAACCATTTAGCCCCTGTTTGGAGCATGTGTTTGTTTTTTTTTTCTCTAAATAAGTTTTTCACATATTTTGAAGAGAGGATAAAGAAATCTTGGTTTAGTTATCCTATGTTTTTTAATTTGGAATTATCAAAATTCAAAATTAGAACTGTTTTAGTTTCTGAAGGAAACTAGCAGTTGTCTGTCTAACAGCTATCTACTTCCTCCTCCTCCACCACTAGGCAACTTCTGTGGTAGGAATAATATATAGAATGTCCAAAAGACAGCATGTGTTCAGATCTGAAGGTCTGTGGAAACCCGCCTACCAATGAAGTTGTTCCTCAGGGACACTGACTTACTGGGAGGATTATTGTAGGTTCTAACAGACTTTGGCTCAAAGGACAACTGTCCTAAAGAATCAGGAGTGTCAACTGGTTGGGAATCTCCTCCTTGTTTCCTTAAATTCTTACCACTAACCTCTTTTCCAGATACTTTATGAGTGCCTTTGTTGTTACCTAAGTCTATAGGATGAAGGACACTACAGCTGGTACTAAGTGTACACATCCCATTATTTTCCTCTTCATCCAAAATGTGACTGTTAGGAGCTGCCTGAAACACAGAAAATGAATTTAAACTCTGGTGTACTGCTGTGTGTGTTGGTTTTTCCACCAACAAGTTGTCATCAGATACAGAACAGAATCTCTTCAGTGAATTTGTTGGTGTGCCCTGATATTTGGCTAGGTTTAACTTTGACTTGTTTGCATGGTATTGATTATGTTTATCCTTTGATTTATATTGTCCCCAAAGCCCTCTTTTAATTTTTTTAAAACCAAGGTGGAAAATTTCTAGAATGTTTAAGAAAAGTGAAACTGTGGCTATGAACTGCATAAATAATAGGAATATTGTCTTTTCTGTTGGTCTTGAGATAAAACAATCAATTATATTTGGACATGGGTGGCCATGGCATTTAAATAGAGGATCTAAGTGAAATCCATATAGGAAGTACTGTCCAGTCATGAACCCAACTTCAAACACAGAGCGAGTGAAAATGTGTATCACATAAGTGCAAAGCAAGCTTCCTCTGAGTGGAGCTTTATTTGGTTTCCTTTTCCCCTCCAGCTGGCAAAGCTCTTGTTCCAGTCTTCTTTGATCCTCAGGCATTTTAAACTCTACTTCCTCCAGTTCTTTTTTCAATTGAGCTTTTAACCGATGCCTCTCTTTCTGTAGAGCTCTCAGTCGATATAAAGCATGGCCCATGTAGACCAGAGATGGTGAAGACACAAATATTACTTGTAGAACCCAGTATCTAATGAGGGAGATAGGAAAAGCCTGGTCATAGCACACATTTCTGCAACCTGGTTGTTCTGTATTGCAGATGAAATCAGACTGTTCATCATTCCAGACATCTTCAGCTGCTATCCCCAGAACAAGCATGCGAAATATGAACAAGATGGTGAGCCAGATCTTTCCAATCATGGTAGAGTGAATATGGACTTCCTCCAGAACACCTCCAAGAAGGTTCCAATCCCCCATATTTGTTTATTCAGCCATCGTAGCTCTGAATCCTAGCAAATAGGAGGCAGATAAAATCTTCCATTATGAAGAGAGCAATAGTTCTTAAACCTATAGCCAAAATATGCACAAATAATCTTTTTTTATGTGTTAATTGTTTCACATTTACTACAAATAGCAGTAGTAATCTATAGCAGAACATATTTCATGTTTAGAGATTTAAAATCACATGTACGAGTGCAAAAAAAATGATACATAGTATATCTTGTCTATTAAGAATAGAATTATTAATTGGGTGCTGGTGGCTCATACATATCTATAATCCTAACTACCCAGGAAGCTGAGATCTAAAAAATCATGGTTTCAAGCCAACCCAGGCAGGAAAGTCTGTGAGATTGTTATCCCCAATTAACCACCAAAAAAACTGAAGTGGAGCCGTGGCTAACATGGTAGAGTACTAGCATTGAGCGAAACAGCTCAAGGAGTTCAAGATGCAGGTCCAATACAAAAAAATAAGAATAGAATTGTTGTGCTGGGGTATGGTTCAATGGTGGAGTATACGCGTATTGTGCTCCTCAGCAGCAAAAATGAAAGTTACAGGATTCCCTATCAGAAATAATTTTATTTAGCTGAAATTATGGTTGATTTCCTTAATCTACAAACAGGTTCCTAAAATTATTGATTTGATCTTACAAACCTATTAAGTTTGTTTTATAGAAAAAGTTGTAACTGCTCCATAACTTTCTGAGTCTTCCTTTCTGACACTACCCTACTCACTTTCCTCTTTTGACTACTGAGAGGTGTCCCAACTGGCCTATCCTCCATTGCTCTTGTGAACTTCACTGACCCCTGGGTCCAAGAAGAAGATACTAAGTACCACAGAGGCCAAAAATGGAGTCTGTGAGCTTTGAGGATGTAGCTGTGAACTTCACCTCAGAGGAGTGGGCTTTACTGGATCCTTCCCAGAAGAAACTCTATAGAGATGTGATGTGGGAAATCCTCAGGAACCTGACTTCTTTAGGAAAAACACAGGAAGACCAGAACACTGAAGATGACTACAGAAATTTCAGGAGAAGTATAAGAAGTCAAGTGCTCAAGAGACTCTGTGAACATAGTGAAGAAGGTGAAGAAGTCTTTAGCCAGATTCCAGATCCTGTTGTGAATGATACTCCTCCTGGAGTAAAGTGGTGTGAAAGCCAGGTGTGTGGTGATGTCTTCATTGGTCCTTCACTCCTAAGTGTGCCTATCACTGTTCAAACTGGACATGAGCCTTATGAATATCAGGACTGTGGAGAGAATCTGTATAAATGCAGGGAATATGGGAAAGCTGTTAGTTATCCTGAATGCTTTGTGAAGCATGAACCAACTCATACTGAAGAGAAACCCTTTGAACATACGGAATGTGAGAAAGCCCTCAGGAGTCATAATTATAGTCAAATACATGAAAAAAATGACAAAGAGAAAACAAATGTGTATAACCAAAGTGGTGAAGCCTTGTCTTGTTCCAGTGTCCCTCAATACCAGGAAGGAATTCACGCTGGAGAAAAACCCTATGTGTGTAAGCAGTGTGGGAAAGCCTTTTCTTTTTTGAGTAGTATTCGAAGGCATGAGCGAGCACACACAGGAGAGAAACCCTATGTGTGTAAGCAATGTGGGAAAGCTTTCAGTCACTTGACTAATTTTCAGCAACATGAACGAACTCACACAGGAGAGAAACCTTATGTGTGTAAGCAATGTGGGAAAGCCTTCACCTATTACAATTCCTTTCAAACACATAAAAGAAATCACACCGGAGAGAAACCCTATTTATGTAAACTGTGTGATAAAGCCTTCACTAGTCGCACTTCCCTTCGATATCATGAGAGCATTCACAGTGGAGAGAAACCCTATGTGTGTGAGCAATGTGGGAAAGCATTCCCTTGTACAAGTTCCATTCGAAGACATGAAAGGACTCACACTGGAGAGAAACCCTTTCTGTGTAAGCAATGTGGGAAAGGTTTCAGCTCTTCCAGTTCCTTTAGAATACATGAACGAACTCACACTGGAGAAAAACCTTATAAATGCAAGGAGTGTGGTAAGGCCTTCACTGGTCACAGTTCCCTTCGTTGCCATGAAAAAATCCATAGTGGAGAGAAACCTTACAAATGTAAGCAATGTGGAAAAGCTTTTTCTTCTCTGAGTAATTTTAGAAGACATGAACAAATTCACACTGGTGAGAAACCCTATGTGTGTAAGCAATGTGGGAAAGCCTTCACTTGCTCTGGTTCCCTTCAGAAACATGAAAGGACTCACAAGGTAGAGAATTCTAAAATAGAATGTGAGAATGCCTCATTGTTACATGACCTTTCTAACAAACATGACAGTACAGAGGAAAGAGAATTAGAATCAGTGTAAAGTGTTAAGGATGTCTCTAATCATCTCACAGAATTCACAAGTGAAAAATGGCCTACTGTGCCCCTCTGCACAGTATGTTCACAAAAAATTAAAATTAAAAAGAAAAATGGCCTACTGTGGTAAGAAGAAATGTGCAAAAGTCTTTTGTCATCCCATAACTAAGAGCTTACCTAGGACAAAAAAAAAAAATCTTGTGAGCATTAAAAACAACATTTGGCAAATTCCTCCTGTGATGGAATCCTACAAAAAAGTTTTATGAAGAGCTTGATGCAAAGTAATTTCTATAGACTGCTCTAGAAATTGCTCAAACTGAAAAAGATGTTCTGAAAGTTACAAGTATATTGTGTTTACTAGTAAGTCATTCTTAAAATAGACCTCTGGACTATGGATTGTTTTATTTCATTAGGATTTGAACTTAGACTATATTTCCAATTTTCACCTTCTAAAAGAAGTGTTAAAGTAACCTCTAAGGTTCAAGTAATAGGACATGAGGTAGTGTCCTTTTTAGTCATGGGTAGTAACTTTTATCTTTTTTTATTTTTAACTATTTTGGTTCCTTGCATAAAGCAAGCTGTAGTTCTAATAAGCCAGGAGACTTAATTTTAAATATCTTTAAAGTAATGTGGTTAATGTGCCACTAAAAATTAATTTGTTAGTTGCTAGTATTTTCCTACTAGACATTTGTGGAAGATTCTTATATATTTATATAGCTTCTTTGTTACCATTCTTTTTTCATCACTGTGACTGAATACATGAGAGAAACAACTTGGGGAACAATTATTTTGCTCATGATTTCAGAGGTGTCTGTTCATCATGGTGAAGCAAGCAGTTTACATGGCAAATAGGAGCAAAGGAGTGCCTATGTAGGAAGAGGCCAGGGCAAGACAAAGCCCCTTAGGGCATCCCTTCCCTACTCCTTCAACATAGGCTCCTACCTCCTAGTGATGACACCGTATTATAAACTCAAGGCATGAGTCAATTCATTGGATCCAGAGCCCTCTTGTTCTAATCATCTCTGGAAATGGTAATACAGACACCATGAAGTGTGCTTTACCAGACTTAGGTATCTTTAAGTCCAGTCAAGTTTACAATGAAAATCATCATAGTCCTTTTTTTCAGATCAACTGATGTTTATTATGTGGATTTTGTACCATTTACTTTTTTATGTATATTTTCTTGAGGATTTTTGTACATATTTTTAGGAAGTTTCTGAAGTGTTTTAACCAATGTTGTCTTTTTCATTTAGTGAGAAAGTATCTGCAAATATTCCCTACCATGTTTATAAATTAGGTCAAGTTTGCCAAACATTTCCTTTCATGTTGATAATGATTATTATACTGTGTGCTAACAGCTAATAATGTTTTTTTCCTTATGCAAGTTTTACTTTATGTTTATATTGTTAAAGCTTCATTTTGATAATAGTTTGTTGTTCATCAGAAGAAAAGATGTCATGCTGTTATTAGTGTCCTCCTGCTAGAGACATGAGACACATAAATTTGTCAAGTAATATGTAATAATTTATACTAATAAATCTGTCCACAAACCATTAAAAAATATAGCCAAAGTCAATGGGGTTTTGTTGTTGTTGTTCTAGTACTTGGGCTTGAACTTCACCTCTTGTGCTCTTAGTTTTTTTAGCATTCTACCACTTGAGTCCCACACTACCTGGCATTTTTTTAAAACAGATTGCAATCTTTTAAAATTTATTTTCTATTGTTATTATAAAGGTGATATACAAAGGGGTTATAGTTATGTAAGTCAGATAAAGAGCACATTTCCTTTTTTTTTTTTTTTTGGTCAGTCATGGGGCTTGAACTCTGGGCCTGTGTGCTGTCCCTCAGCTCTTTAGCTCAAGGCTAGCGGTCTACCACTTGAGCCACAGAGCCCACTTCCAGCATTTTTACTGTCTATGTGATGCTGAGGAATTGAAACCCAGGGCCTCATGCATGTGAGCAAGCACCCTACCACTGAGCCACCTTCCCAGCCCACTATCTGGCATTTTGTTGGGTTTTTGGACTTTTCTGCTAGGGCTTTAAACCTTGATTCTCTAGGTCTCAGCCTCCTTTCATCACAAGAGGGAGATGCAAGGTGGCTTATGCCTATAATCCTAACTACTCAGAAAACAAAGATCTAGAATGGTTGCAGTTTGAGTCCATTCTTGGCAAAAACTTCACATGACCCTATTACAGCCAATAAAAACTGAGCAAGGTGGTACACATTTATCATCTCATTCTGGAAGTATAAATAGGAGGATTATGGTTCAATCTAACCTGATCATAAATGTAAGACCCTTTGAAAGCAAAAAAGCTACAGTATAGCCTAAGTAGTAGGGTATCTAACATGCACAGGACTCTGAGTTCAAACCCTAGTACCACAAAAAAAAGTTTTAAAAATGTAGCATTTAATTAAACCAGAGGAATTAGATGCGACTCTTAATAAAGAAATATAGATAGCTTGTTTTTTTGTCAGTGATGGTACTTAAACTCAGGGCCTGGTCACTGTCTCTGAGCTCTTTTTACTCAAGGTTAGCACTCTATCACTGTGAATCACAGCACTACTTAAGTTTTCTGCTAGTTAATTGGGGATAAGAGTCTCACAGAGCCAGGCATTGGTGACACTATAATCCTAGCTACTCAAGAGGCTGGGATTTGAGTATCATGGTTCAAAGCCAGCCTGAGCAGGAAAGTCTGTGAGACTCTTAATTCTGGTTAATCGCCAGAAAACTGGAAGTAGAGCTACAGCTCAAAGTGGTAGAGCGTTAGCCTTGGGCAAAAAGAGCTCAAGGACAGCACCCAGGTCCTCAGTTCAAGTCCTACAACTGACAAAAATAAGCCTCATGGACTTTCCTGTGCAGGCTGGCTTTGAACCAGGATCCTCAGATCTCAGCTTCCTGAGTAGCTAGAGTTACAGGTGTGAGCCCTCAGCATGGTTTTCAAATATAGATTCCACATTAAGCATATTCTGGTTTCTTTCTGGCAGTTGTAAATTTTGTGTGTGTATGTGTGTGTGTGTGTGTGTGTGTGTGTGTGTGTGTGTCATGGGGCTTGAACTCTGGGCTTGGGCGCTGTCCTTGCGCTCTTCAGCTCAAGGCAAGCACTCTACCGCTTGAGCCACAAGCGCCACTTCTGGTTTCCAGTGGTTTATTGGAGATAAGAGTCTCATGGACTGGGCTAGGAAGGTGGCTCAGTGGTAGAGCGCTTGCCTTGCATGCCAGAGGCCCTGGGTTCGATTCCTCAACACCACATAAGCAGAAAAAAAAGCCAGAAGTGGCGCTATGGTTCGAGTGGTAGAGTGCTAGCCTTGAGCTGAAGAGCTGAGGTACAGCACCCAAGCCCAGAGTTCAGGCCCCAAGACCGGACTCAAAAAAAAAAAAAAAAAAGTGTCATGGACTTTACTGCCCAGGCTGGCTTTGAACCATGATCCTCAGATCTCAGCCTCCTGAGTAGCTAGGATTACAGGCGTGAGCCACCGGTGCCCGGCAAGTTGTAAATTTTTATCCTGTTAAAATGAACTCCAGCTGGACACCAGTGGCTGACACCTGTAATCCTAGCTACTCAGAAGGCTAAGATCTGATTATTGTGATTTGAAGCCAGCTTAAGCAGTAAAATACATGAGACTCTTATCTACAATTAACCACTGAAAAACTGGAAGTGGCACCGTGGCTCAAAGTGGTAGAGCTCTAGCTTACCACTGTCCCTGAGCAAAAAAGCTCAGGGATAGTACCCAGGCCATGAGTTCAAGCCCCATGACCAACAGTAACAAAAAAAAAAAAAAATCTCCAGAAATTCTTAATTATTTTATGGGACTAGAATGTCATTAGATATAATTTTAAGCAAATCAATCATTGATGTAGTGGGAGGATTTTAGAAATTTTCCTTATAGCAATACTTCACCTATTTAAGATACTCAGTCTGCTTTGTAGAATGGAACTCTGGGGCAAATCATAATTTGTCTGCTTAGATCATTACCCAGGAAATCTCATATTAAGTTTACTAACTGTCTGTTGATAGTGTCTCATGCCTACAATCCTAGCTACTCAGGAATCTGAGATCTGAGGTTCGAAGCCAGTCCAAACAGAAAAGCCTTAGAGACTCCAATTAACAAGCAAAAAACTAGGCTAGAGGGGCTGGGAAGGTGGCTCAGTGGTAGAGCGCTTGCCTTGCATGCATGAGGCCCTGGGTTTGATTCCCCAGCACCATATAAGCAAAAAGAAAAGAAGCCGGAAGTGGCACTGTGGCTCAAGTGGTAGAGTGCTAGCCTTGAGCTGAAGAGCTGAGGGACAGCGCCCACGCCCAGAGTTCAGACCCCATGACCAGACCCCCCCCCAAAAAAAACTAGACTGGAGATATGGCTCAAGTGGTAGAGCACTAGGAAGAGGGTGTTGCCCTGAGTTCAAGTCCTGTACCAGCACCACACAAACGCATACACACACCACATACAGTAGACATCCTAGGCTATCTCAGAGGAAAAATACTCCAAAAGGAAAATAATATTTTCATTCATTTCATTTAAAATGTATATCCTATATCATTTGCCTATGGGAAATGTTACACAAGGGAAAGAACTACTAGCATACTGTAATTACAGAATATCTTCATTTGTTGTTCACCCAATTTCACTGATGCTGAAACTGAAGTACAACTTATGGGCTCACAATAACACAGAGTTGAAGCTAGTGTTCAGACTCAATACTGTGGCTCCACAGTCAGCTCTTAACTGTATTAACTATATCCCTTTTTCCTCTCTAAACAAATGAAATAGCCATAAAAGAAACATCAAGAGCTCATTTATTTTCTCTTAAAAATTTATTTAGGGCTGGGAAGGTGGCTCAGTGGTAGAGCGCTTGCCTTGCATGCATGAGGCCCTGGGTTCAATTCCCCAGTACCACATAAGCAAAAAGAAAAAAAGCCGGAAGTGGCGCTGTGGTCCAATTAGTAGAGCGCTAGCCTTGAGCTGAAGAGCTGAGGGACAGTGCCCAGGCCCAGAGTTCAGACCCCAGGACCGGACCCAAAAAAAAAAAAAAATTTTTTTTTTTTTATTTAAACTTAGGAATGGCTGGGTGCCAGTGGCTCACACCTGTAATCCGAACTACTCAGGAGGCTAAGATCTAAGGATCACGGTTCCAAGACAACCTAGGCACAAAACCTGTGAGACTTTTATCTTCAATAAATTACTCAAAAAAATCAGAAGTGGCACTGTGGCTCAAGTGGTAGAGCACTTGCCTAGAGCAAAAGCAGCTCAGGGGTAGTGCCCAGTCCCAGAGTTCAAGCCCAAGGACCAGGGGAAAAAAATTAGGAATGACCAATAGTGATAGTTTGGGCTTTTTTAATAACTGGTTTTAGAGTCCTTGGTTTTTTTAAAGTTCTTGAACGTGTGTGTGTGTGTGTGTGTGTGTGTGTGTGTGTGTGTGTGTGTGTGTGTGAACGTGTGTGTGTGAACGTGTGTGTGTGTGTGTGTGTGTGTGTGTGTGTGTGTTTTGGGTGTTGGTTGGTTGGTTGTGGGGCTTGAACTCAGAGCCCGGGGCTGTCCTTAATTCTTTTACTTAAGGCTAGTGCTCTGATATTTTGGGCCACAGCTCCACTTCCTGTTTTCAGAAAGTAGTTAATTGGAGAGGAGAGTGTCCTAGACTTCTCCAGCCCAGACTGGCTTCAAACTGTGATCCTCAGATCTGTCTCTTGAGTAGCTAGGAATTTAGGCATGAGCCACCAGTGCCCTTAAGTTATTGGATCTTTGTTTTGTTTTATACAATTAATAAGACTTGCAAAGCATCTCCCGTCTAAGATTTAATTGTATTCCTGATAGAAAAAATTCTATTGGCTTTATCATATTAATAATTGCATACTTTGACCCAAGAAACCAGGCACTTTAAAATGTAAGCAAGGATTACTCATGTTGTGATTTATAATAGTCATAAATTGAAAGCATCCATAATAACTAGCAACACTAGAAAGACTAGTTAATTCTACATCCTCCAGTGTGATTCTGTACACCAGTAGAAATGTTAAATTTATACTAATGTAAAACAATGTGATTTAGGTTGTAAAATAGCAGAGTCCCTCTGTAAATTTATATATAGAAATGCATGCAAAACTTCTGGAAGGATATTCATCAAAATTCAATCTCTAGGTAGTAGCATTATAATTAACCTAATTTTTAAATAACTATATGAGTTTTATTTTCCCATCATCACTCTTGTAATCACAAAAAGAAAGGATTTTCTCCTACAAGACAAGAATGTTAAAGCATTTCCTAAAAGAAGGAGCAATATATTCTTTACAAATTAAATCCTCTTTAGCAAATGGCATGAAAACTAGTATACATAAGATTTTTTAGAAGCAAAAGATACATGGATACAAAAGCAAAAGATAAAATCATTTATAACAATACTTTCTTAGCTAGCTAAAAATTAGCTCATACCTGTTTTAGGTTAGGTGAACCTGAGGCAAATCATGCTTAGAAGTTACACCATGGCCATCTTCAACTTCTTTAGATTTGTTTCTTTGAGATGTTGAGTAGGTCCAGTGCAGTTCAGCACAATGGATAGTTAGCCATCAACTAAATCACCTCCC